TATATATAAATACTTATATTTGCTTTTATTCTCATACAACTTATTTTAAACCGTTTAACAATCTTAAATTGTACTGAGATTACAATCTGTACTTTAGGTTTTATTAAATAAGGTTGACTTTGATATTGCCAAAATTGTATAAAAAAATATAAAATATGTTAAGCATATATACTTTTATATTTAAAACATGTGCATAAGTGAAAAAACTTGCAAATACCTGTAGTGGGTTATATTCGATTGTTCTATTTGATGTAACGATTCCTTTGGTCTGAGGTCGAAAGCTTTTTACGTCAATCACTGCACCTAAATCTATTGCTTGAAGGTTCTTACTTCCCTCATCCCAATTAGGAACGACACTTTGTGTTGCGGTAAAGTGAGTTAACTGCCCATCAAGTTTAGAACAAAATGAGTAGGTCTCTCGCAAATCCCACATAGCTATGCTGCCATCACTTAAGCCACATACAATTATATCTGAAGATTCATTAGAAATTTCAGCATGACATACTTCGCACCACGTTGAAAGTAAGCGTATTGGTTTCTTAGACATATTTGTTGACCACACCATTAGGAGATTGGCAAAATCTGATCGGTAAACATCTGCATCAGGTCGAGTCTCATGTACTGTTATTATTAAATTATATCTCGCATTTGAAAAAACCCGTATTACACGTAGTGCATTTAAAAAGTCTGTACTTAATTGAACAAAGCCATCGCTTATTGTAGAGAGTTCATTGGGTATTGAATCCTTATGATTATTAAAATCTGTTAAGTTGTCATGAGTATTTAAAATTTTTGATATTAATAGTAGAGAATCTAATAGAAATCTATTTAATCTTTCAAAATCAATAAAATTATTTAAAATTGTTGTTTTTTGACGATTTGCATAACGAATATTTTTAGCTTTACTCAATTTGTGGAGAGCCCGTAGGCTTCTATCAATTTCATCTGTTGAATGGATATTTGTTAATGTTTCATCGTCATAAAATTTTCCATAACTATTGGAAGTGATAACTTCATTATTGTGCACAACTGTTACTTTTTGCATTGATAGCAAATCATATTGCGGAGGATGTTGTGTCCATATGGATACAGTTTCATAGCTATCAGTTTGGCATTCAGTTGATATACGATTGTCATTCGTTTGAGTATAGCTTTGAGTTGTATTCAATTTTCCATAGATCTGTTTAAAATTTTCGAAAGTAATTGGTTTTTGGTCGAAAAAGACAAAACTCATCAAATCGAAACGAATTTTTGATTTTAAATCAATTCCACGTTTACTGATTTTTGGTTTATGATTAAAATCCTTATATCCACTATAGAAAACAGCTGTGTTCGTATTGTGAAATTCATTTATAATAGCAACACCACTAATACCAGAATCCATTTGCTCAGAATTGGTTTCATTAAGGCTATCTAAACTGTTCTGAAAAGGCTCTGGTTTTGTGGGAATCAATCTATCCGTTTGTATTGGAATTTGCCGTATATTGATTTCATAATTCCCCGAATCCAATTTTCGTTCCTTTTCACTGTGTAGATTCGTAGTTTGGTATTGTAAAACTTCCGTTTCTTTTATTTCTTTATTATTATTTGAAAAACTCTTTATGCTTGTTTCTTTATCTGTAGTTGAATTGTTTAAACTCTCAATTGATTTATTATCTGTGTGATTTTCAGTAAAACTTTCTGATTCAGATGAAATATGCGTTTGACTTGAATAACTATTTTCGAAATCTGACTCATACGATTCAAAATCATCTGAATAATTTGTTTCTTGTTCTTGGTCATCTTCATCTTTACTTGTAGGAGGAAAATTTGGTTTAGGTATTTTCACAACTTTGGGTTGCTTTTCGAAAGTAACTTCATATGCAACAGGTGGTTTATTCTGTTCACTTTTTATTACACTCCTATCACTTTCTATTTGTTTTTCAATTCTTTTCTTAGCAGAATCTCTCTTAAGCATTATAACTTCATCCGGTTCAAGAGTTCTACTACCTTTTCTAGTAAGCTTTTGACTTGTACTCGTTTCACGGACGCCATTCAAGTCATTATTCACTTTAATATCTTTTCGTTGTGATGGTGGAGAGCTTATGGTAACATTATGGTAAGTATTCAATATCATATTTGATTTAATAGCTGAGGACTTAGCATTTTTTGTTTTCTTCTGAGCTGCTTCAACGGTATTAGTGCGAGGCTTGAGTTGAAGCTGTTTTGCTTTATCTGTATTAGACGAAACATTTTGTTTCTTGATTTCTTTTTTATTTGAAGAGCTAACACTTGAAGTTTTTGTTTTCTCAATTTTTTGTTGTTTTTCGAGTGGCAAATTAGATACTTTGATTTTACTTTTATTGCCGTTGCGATTTGTTTGCGATGTTGCTTGAGAGAGTTTTTCTTCTTTATCCGCCGCTGCTTTAATTGAATTATCCCGTTTTATTTTAGTTGTTGCTGCAGTATTCACTTTCTTCGATTTAGCGCCAGTTGAAACTTTTGATGCCTAAGAAAAATGTGTTAATTTCTTTATTTAAGTTCGGATTACTTCTATTTTAAGTACAAGCAATGAAATGAAAAAATTTAAAATAACGGCATGCATTTTCTTATCAATTAAAGCCACCACATTTGCGAAAGTGGAATGTATTGAAAATGGAACAATTGTGCGATGAAGTATTTGATTAACAAATTATTAATTGAGACTTACGTTACTGACAACAGCAACTTCATAAAAAAGTGTAAATAATTTGCAAATTGATTATTGTAGTTTTATTTGTGAGAAATTAATTTTGGTGCTCTATTATTTAAAATTCTGTAAGTGCAAATTTATTCTCCATAGTGATAACAAAAAAAGTTTGCTTTGGTGTTGTAATTTAGTTTTCTCTTAATTCGTTGCCATCTTACAATTTTTGGTTGACCAGTTTGCTGACTTTTAGACATAATTTTCACAAATTTTATCACGTTAGTTTTGAAATTTTTTGTTATTTTTTTATAATGACTAAGCGATAAAATAATATTTATGCGAAATACATTTATTGTTGTGACAATTTTGCCTAGCAACTTGTAAACAAATACAATTCAACATTTTGTCAGCTGGTGATTTGCAGGGTGAGTAAATTTTACTTTCATATAAATTTCTCTTTCTATTCAACTGTAGATGTCGCGACTAAATAATACGCGTTGTTAATCAATTTAATTAATTTAATTTATAATTCATTTTTATTGCCATTTACATTTGTTGAAACGCATAATTAAAAAAATTATTATTATGAAGATTGCATGCCATGAAACTTGTAACTAACGTTATAGCAAAAATTAATTAATTATTTAGAAAATTAAAATTAGATCTGCTCAAATAATTTACGACTTATTCCTAAACATTCATTTAGAATATCTTTAGTAATTAGAAATATGACTAATTATATAAAGTTTCCATAATAACATTTTTATTTATATATATTCACATGTAAGGCGAGTTATTACATCTGCAAATCGAGGTAATACGTTTTGCCTAATGTTACCAGGGAATTATTTTCAGTTAATATTGTGACATATTAATATAATATTGGTATTTATATATGTTATGTATGTGCATTGCATATTGAAGCGCAACACTAATGTAAGACTTTTCTTCATTATTATCACTTCTTAGGAATGAATGGAGAAGATTTCCATCGCAATGTGAAAACTCATTCTAATAATTAGGTGAGAAAACTAAGATAAAGAGGCTTAGTACCTAGAAGTCAAGGTTTATTTAAGAAAAAAAGAGCTGCTGAGGTTACGGGAGCCATGTGTGGACAATGGGGTTATGGAAACTACTCGTTTATACGAGTAACTTCAGCTTTCTTGTAAGTGACAGGGTCGGGATGTGGGTAGTTATGAACCAGATTGTAGAATTTGTAATAAATTAAATTCAATCATAGTTTTGTATACGTTCTTCCACATTCACGAGACAGAATCTTCTTTCCTGCCTTACTTGTTGTTCTCGGTTCTCTTACTTAGATTAATCTAGTTTAATATTATACATTAAGACTATTTACTCCACCTACCTGCACTGTCTCAAATCTGATAGCAGTTTTCGATCATTTATGTCTACTGAGAAAAAGTTTATTTAAGGCCATAAAATAGTGCACCGTATTACAGCAACGTACGTATGCTTCAAATCATATGAGAGATTGAGAGATGCAGAAGGCAGTAATTCTAGAAAATAAACGAATTGTAAGAAATTCTGAAGTTCACTGGATGCGCAAAGATTGTGCATAAGTATAAAAAGGCCATCATTTTTGCAGTATAATTTACAGATAATAAATACACTGCACGAACACTGTAAAAACACTGCAAGAACACTGCCAAAAAATAAAGTTGTGCTTAGTGTTCCGCCCCTTGGGATATTATATATACACGTATATACACGTGCAAAGGTACGCGTAGCTAATTATGAACTGTACAAATCATCGCTTCATATGGGGAAATGCCTGTGTTATACGGGGAATTGAAATCGCGTAATATGAAAACGCGTTATAAGGGTACCGCATTATAGGGGGGATTACTGTATGTACTACACTCCGGCACGTTCAGTGTTATTTTGTCTATTCTGCAATGTTTTCCTGGCAATTTCACAATATTTCTTTGCTTTTTAATTTCAGTAACAAGTATTAAACCAAAATTAAAATATATATCTATATATATTGGTTTTCTCTTATTTTTTCACTCTATTCTTTCTTATTACAATAGAACAGTCCATTTTATATATCAACTGAGTTTATCTAAAATATATCTTATCAAAAAAGTTATCAGTTAACGAATCGGCAATATCCCTGGCTTTCCTGAATTGCTTAGCTCAAACACAAATATTTAGTCCAAAAGTATTGTTTAAAGCAATATCTAATCTGCTATTTATTTTGTTATTTACTTACTTGTAAGTAAATTTTTAGTATGCATATAAAAAACTGGGGATATGTTCAAAACAAGCATTATTTGTTAAAGTTAATATCATTATTTTTTATTGAATACGCCCATGAGAAATTAAAATGTATGTATCCTTTCACTAAATATTCATTACAAAGATTTTAAAAACTATACTATTACAAAGTAATATCACAATAAATAACTAAACATTAATGAAGTAAATGGAATAAAGTATTGACTTAAAAACTATAGAAAAACATGCAAATTATTAAATAAATGAATGCAAAGGCCGAATATCCATATAAATTGAATGTAAATTTTTTAGCGGCGCTTGCACTATAATCTGTATAGAATTGACTCGCATATTTTTCGTATACATCTTCCATAGAGCGTTTGGCATAATCTTTCTTCAAATCCTGTGATCCCTTTAAACTGTCAGTACTATCGTGAAACAAAACATTATTGCGTTTATCAAATATTCCGTACATTGTAAAGGGGCGTGTTTCTGATTTGTAAGTCTTTCCAAATAAACGATCCATATCACTTAACGTATTATATATTTCATTTCGTCGAGCTATCGTGCTATTATGAGTCATAAAGTGACCGCGTGATGTCCAGTGAAGATAGCAATATTCAAATTTAGAACCATGTTCGTTACTACCATAAGGGCAAAGAATTTTAAAGGATTTTTGTTTTGTTTTTGCAACCCAGTCTGATGTTAAATTACCAACTGTATATAACTTATATATATCAGAGCTAAGGAAAGCTACGTCAGCACCTTCCGCCAAGCAACGCAGCGCACCTTCATCACCTTTATAATACTCAGGACATTTACGGTGTGAGTGAGGATGCCAAGTGCAGGAGTCACGATGAAAATAGTTATGTATACTTGTTACTTGACCAGTAATATTATATATTGTATCTTGTACGGACAAATGTGCAGCACCTTCATAGGATGGGAAACATGCTTTAACATCTTTTAGATCTTTAAAACTTTCATATTTTGCATCATTATGTATTACTGCTATTGTAGCGTAACGATCATGCATATTTTGTGAAAATTCATAAAGGATCGGCAATAGATTATAATCTCTTTGTGCTTTGACACGACTTTCTTGATCTACTACAACGACATCCGCTGCTTTGAATTGTGTATCATCCATACATGATTCTAAACTTGCAGAACGTATACATTGAATGTTTGGTTCCACACCGTACACTTGAGAAGCTTCCTGTAACCATGAACATTTTATGTGTTGAATAATTGATGTCGTACAATATACAATTGAACGTGGGGGATTGCATTCTGGAAAACTGTATGCACTTTGAAATGCAGGCGCTTGATCTAGATAGTCATCAATTGGTATTACATTGTCAAGTGGATTTATATCAATATGATATGTTTCTAATAAACTAAGAAGTGCGTTTTGCCAACTATTTGGATCATCATGTGATAGACCTGTAACTAGTCTTTGTATTTGAGCAGCATGAGATCGTCTAGCGGCAATTACGGGCCAAGGTTTGGCTACCCATACACATGGTTTAGTAGAGTTTATGGGTTGCATGTGACCGTCCATGCAGAGAAAACTATATTCTGATAATTCGGCTTGTGCTGGCAAGCTAGTAAGCTAGTAGATGAGAAAATATTTTGTCATTAAATTAAAATAATATTCTAACGTATTTAAACTTACACCAAAGTGACTTCGGACATCATCCAAACGTGCCCAAGCCACATTACCTCCACCACTTGTTAAACAATAAAGAGCTCCTCTTCTACCCCAATGCTTATCACCGATTCCACAACGATAAGGATCATAGCACATTTGGCATAAGGTTGAATAACGATCTTTTAAGATGCGATCTTGTTTTGGATCAGGAACCCAAGGTCCAGCTTTGCAACTAGGACCAAAATATTTTGCTGCAGAACGAATGCGATCCTCAACTACTGAGATTTCAGGATCACATGACTTAGCAACTAATGTTGATTCAAAATACTTTCATAAAAATAAGAAATGTTAACAAGTTATATATTAATATAAATAATACAAAATATAATACATACATTAGCTAAAACGTCTGTCCAATGATTTTCTAGACCATATCCTGGGTGACATAATTTCGAGCCACGTAAGTCATGTACAGTGTTTATATCAGCTTCATTGTCGACTACAGCGACAACTTCGTATTCAAAAGGTGAATTATGTGAACGTAGTTCACTAGCTACAAGAATTTCCACACTAGCCCAGCGAGCTGCGACTAAATCTTCAGAGGTCAATACGCCAAAGTGTGCTGTGCCTTTATGTATACGGCGTACACAATCTAATCGATCTACGCCAACAACACATTCTATGTTAGACGTAGCCTCCAATGTTGGACAAAATTTGGGGGTTTTACGGTATATACCTCTCGCTTCAACAATACAAACGCGCACTACGAAATATATTAAAAGTGATTGGTTTTTTTTAATAAATTTTTTAATTTGTCAGTTATTATTAATTTTATTTTCTAACTAAAATATAAATAACAATTATATGATAAATAATTGGGATTTGGGATTTTTAAAATTATTAGATACAATAATTGTAAAGTATTAGGAAGAACGTACTTCTGTTGGGATGCCTCGATTCCACCATATAAGTGTATTCTCTAAATCGTATCTAATGAAGCGATAAGTAAAGCTACTAATTTATTCATTATATCTTTTGTGAAATAAATTTAATAATGAAATAATTAAATATATAAAATAATTAAATAATTGATTGTAAAATTGAGTTTTTAATGATGGAGAATTCATTAATGCTTTTTTTCGAAAGTAACTAGAACTTGAGTATTTTGTTTCAATTTTGCAATGATTGCAAAATTATGATTACTAGTTATGATCTCTTGCCATTTTTCGGATAGCTGCATAATTCGATTGATGTTGAACTTCCGTGGTTTATCGAAGAAAAAATTGATTAACTGTTTTGCAGTCGGTCAATTTTTTACCATTGAAACAGTTTTGCAGAGATCGACACAAATAGTAGTCAGACGATCCACGATGCGGGCTAAACGTTTGACATAATCCGTTTACTGTTGCCAGATACCACATGTAAGATAACACCTTTTAGTCACAAAAACACGCGAAAAACAAAGCGGTTTTTTCATAATAGCCTCAAATTAATCTAAAACCGCTGAAAAATTCAAAAAGTGCTTTTACTGTCGTACAGTGTTATTATTAGCCTCGTTCGTGAGGCGTTTGCTATGCCTGGTGTATTTTCTGAACTAGTAGAGATATTAAATGAAATTTTCTATAAATATAATTTTAGATAGCCTTTTTTTCAATCTAATTTGAGCCCAATCGGTCTACCGGAAACCATCAAAATTTAGACCCAAACATGGTCTATCTTCAAATTTTCTTAGTTATCTCAAAAACTATGATAGAAATTAAAATTTGGTGTACTAAATATTTGCATTTTAATATATATACCCCAATTTTTTCATGATATTCCGCCCACTGCAACACCCGCCGCCCATACAAAATTTTCATAAAAGAGTGTTCATTATCTTTAAAAAAATTGTTTACTCTTATTAGACTATATATATTTATTACGTAATAATTTATTAGCGGGTTAATTGGTCATTTAAATAGAAATAAAAAACTATAATTTATTATTTATATTTAAAAATGAATTGTATTTTATTAAAATATTTTTTCGATATTTTAATAAAGTTTTTTTATTTCTATTTAAATGACCAATTAGCCCACTAATAAATTATTATATAATATTTTTTGTCACAAATAAAAGAATAAAATATATTAATTACGTATATAACAATACAACTTTATATAAAAAATGGAAGTAATCCGTCCATTTGTTTTTCAGTTAATTGCAGTTTTAATCAATTTTAGCGAAATTGTGATTTCGCAAAATTTGAGCGAAAAAAGGTTATCTTAAAAACTATTTCTAAGGAAAATTTAATTTCAATATCTTTACTGGTTCAGAAAATACAGAATTTTGATCGGCTAATTTCTGTTTTGATACATTGTGCATAGATTTCAAGAACTTGTGAATGCGTATAGACCTATTCCTAATAGATTTTTTTTTAAATAGACCGAATTAATTGAGTTGTCATATATATTTTTTTTTCTTGCCGTGCCATTATGAAGGACATATCAGTAAATTGTGAAAGGATTAAATTTTAATACACCACATTAATAAATTATATTCAATAAATTCTTTATAAATAGAGTAAATTTAGCTTATTTGTCATCATATCATTTCTAAGCTAAAAAATAATCATTTATAAATATAATAATTAAATAAACTATACAATTTTTTGAATTTATTTATCGTCCTGTTTTTTTATATTAATAAAAATATTAAAAATACAATATTAAATATATTTTTTTTAATTCGGTTAAAGGTACCTTTTTGTTAAATAATTCAATGTTTAATATTTTTTTATTATGGACGTTTACTAGTTAGGCTAAGTTGCGTTCTAAATGAGGGAAATTCTAAGTTGTGCCGATAATGTAGTGATGTGTGGATACGTTTTGATAAATGGCTAAATGTGTGTAGTATCAACTTAGCCTAACTCGCACACGTCCTTTATTCTATATTTCGACTCTCCTTGACTCATCAGGATCACGATAAATTATTAATAAAAATAAATCTACGTCATCTTCTTTATTCTATCGTCTATATAGATATTTAACACAAAGGAACCAATAGCCGGTTTAAAAATAAAATATATATAAAAATATATCTGCTCCTTGGGGAGGTATGCAGATCTGAGGTCAATTATTGCTTAGTCTGATGAAGTGATAAACAATAATCTAGTCAAAGCGCAAAGAGGTGTTTTGAAGTAACCTCGCAGTTAATAGAGAGTAAAAGTGCTCAGGTGCACTGACTCAACTAACCTCAACATAATAATAAAAAATATATATAAATATATAAAGTATACAATATATAAAAAAAATATATATAGATATACAATATTTATATAAAAATACATAAAAATATAATTAGATTAACTTTGAAAAGTATTTTTCTATAAGCATATAATTCACCTACTAAACTTATTGTTCTTTTAATATAATATTTTAATTTGCATTGATAAATATTTGTTAAATTATATATATGTATTTTATATATATCTATATATGTATTTTATATAAGCATATTAAATTTCTTTATATTAATATTTTTAACTTTAGTAATTACAATTAATTAGTTGCAACAAAGAACAATTTCACTTAGAGATAAAACATCGCTAATGGTGGGCGTTTTCTGGAAAGCAGATGTTTTTGGATTAATTAAACAAATTAAAGATAAATGTGCAGATACAGTTTATATGTTAGAGTTTAATTAATATAATAGATATATATCTTGAAAAAAAATTAAAATCTTACAGTTAAATTAAAAAAGTCAATTTATAACACTTACTGCAATTTTTTTTATTTTTTATTTTTTGTAAAAATTTTGCTAAAATCATTGCGGCGAAGATGCCAATTTAAGCCAAAATTTCATTTAATTAAAAATGTTGTTTTATATGCGGTTTAATTTGGTCAATATGACCTTGAAAACTTACTGGTTAGTAACTTGGTTAGCAAGTTTAGTTTACTTTTACCTTTGATTTTATACATCATAAAAATAAACATAACTAAATGTCAGTAGACTAAATTGATTCATCCTCTCTCACTTCGGTGTGGAGTTGTCACTACAACGAGAGTATCTGGAAATGTTGTGTAATTGTAATGTGAGACAGTGAGGCAGTCACTAATTTTATTTCTTATCATAAACTATCGAGTTATGTGTGAGATGTAAACAAAAAAGATTCGCTTCATCACACTTGCCGAGAACAGGTTATGCATTTTGATTGCCGTAAACTTGGTCGAGTGGTTGGGGAATTTTATGAACGTTTTTATGTTTTCTTTGGGAATTTTTTCTCTTATTAATTTTGACTAAAAACTACACAACTTTGACTTATTCCGAAAATTAGCAACGATACTCGTCACTACACAGGTAGAATTTGCAAATAATTGCGTCAAGTACATATAAAAATGGTAAAACCAGTGACGTTTTCAGGGGAATTGATTTAATGTCAAGTCTCCAACTGCCCAAAGAGATGTCAATGTCATATCCGAGCAAAATTAAATAAACATATGGCTTAAAGTATAAAATCACATGGATAATTTAATAGGAAAAATATTTATTTGACTTTCTTATTTATATTTCCATTGAATATTTTAATTTTTTAATATGTGTTACTTTTAAAATAAAATTTATCTTGAAATATAAAAATATCAAGAAGTGTTAAGAATATTAACCCTATGGTTGGTGTAGAACGGTCGTGTTTTATTTGAGTTTACGCTAAATGTTTGTATGGATGAAAGCGGATGAAACTATATGCAGTAGTGAAGCTAAACAAATAGTGCCAGTTACACACATTTCTAATTTCCACAAGTTTCGTTATTATATATACAAGTTTATTATTATTATATATATGTATATATATTTAGTATATATTTTGAATATGTTACCATCATTTATATGCCATATTATCAATATGTTATCATTTGGTTCTTGTTTTTACTTTGGTTTTTGTTTTCACAGAATCAGATATTATTATTATTATTGACACGTTCAAAAATATAAATTCACGAACTTAGTCAAATCACAAGAGATTTCTATCACACGCTATAGCTCTTAGTTCACTGAAAAATTTGCCCGACCTTCTTTTGATTGTCCTTTCTCATGTAGCTTTGGTTGACCGCGATTTCTGTTTCCTTGCCGATACCATTCCAGAGCAGCATGTGCGGTATCGCTTAAGAGTTTGGTTAAAGTGTTACCCAACCAACTATGCTTTCTTTTTACGATTTGTTTATCAATTGGTTTTTGTTTCTATTATAGCCTACAGTCGCTCTTTGCTGATCGTACTAGGCCACCAATTTCTTAAAAGTTTTCTCAAGCATCTTCTGATAAAGGTTTGTAGCTTGTATGTGATGCCGACTGTTACTAACCGTGTTTCCTAGCCGTAGAGCAGCACGGTTTTAACACAAGTGTTATTTTTCTTTTTGTTTTTAGTTGTGACGTCCTTGCTCTCTAAAGTTTGTTTAGGCTGGCAAACACACATTTAGCTTAACGAAATCGATTGGCTTCCAAGGTATTTAAACTGTATGACGTCTTGTACAAGATTTCACCTATAGTAAATTGAGCAACATTATTATCGTTGATCCGCATAGATTTCTTTTTGTCAATATTGACGTTGAGACGAACTTTTGTACATTCATTTTTGATATATGTTATATATAATTGCATGGAACCAGATGTCAAGTCAACTTCATTTTAAAATCCAGATATAAAATCCATAGATAATTTTGTGCCTTAATTGTCCTATATACTTTTTAATTAAGTGAATAGAAGAATTGATTTAAAACTAGTACTCGTTGCTCGATTTGTCTTCGTTGATGTGAACACCGCTTACTCGGGAACTAATGTCCAGATTATTTATATAAATATGCATTCGATTAAATAAAAGTGAAATGAGCTGTCGGTATTAAATTTTTATTTTGCATTGAAAGCAACAACAATTGGTGATTATGGCTGCAATCATTACATAACCCTTAGTAATTTGTTTTATATATACACAATCTAAAATATTTAAACAAATATTAAAGATACCTATTATAGTGTGACTGCAATCATAACTTGTCCCTATGTCAAATAGAATATTATCATTTGTATCCCAACTACTGGAAGGGAGTCTTTTGTATATCAATAGTTAAATATGTGTAGTTGGGTAAATATTTTAATTGAGATAAAGTATTCATTAAGTTTTTAGTTTTCAATATTTATTTAATATATTTCAATTTATTTTATAATTATCTGTACTGATATTCTAAATTAATCTAAAACTCTATTTATTTAGCTTTCAAATTTTCTGTTGTTTTTTAAAAATTCAGTTTTAATAATTATTATTAATAAGTGAGGAATATTATACACTGCGTTCAGGTGGTCTGTTGTTGTTATTTTAACTGAATTTTTTAATGAAGATGAAGTGTCCCCAAGATGGCTTCCTTTCCCAAATTTTTCTCCTATCTTTTCAAAAGAACGGTTGTTGCAAATATTTCGTTAGAATGATTTTATCATCTTAGACTTTGGGTATTTTTATATATTATGTAAACCATATATTTTAAGTTGTCTTCAAGATGGATAAGTTTTTTTCTGCTATGTATTCGATTTTATTAGAAATATTAGTATAACTATAGATAATATAACGTTTTCATATATTTTTAAAGAAAATATAATATTCTTAAATGCCAGGTTTGTTACGTACTTAGAATACTAAATCATTAATGGAGGAATAATTAAGAGAGCTCTCAACGGACTTATATGTAATTTTCTTGGACTCCTTATACGTCCCTTATATTATTATTTTTAAAAATATTTAAATTTCACCTGGTTTATAAATTTTAAATATATTATCAAACGAAAGACGTCATATATGATTTTAACTACTGCTTATAATAAATGAATACTATCATTAGTTAACCGAAACACTCTGGCTTTAGAAGACTTATAAACCGGATTGTAAAATTCCGATTTAAGGTTTTTTTTTTTAATTATGGGGATGCAACAAAAAAATATTAAAAATGTTAATCATTTGCGGAGATCTAAAGGCTTTGATTATTAACAACTTAAAATTACAAATAAATCATGTTAACATTTATTAACGTTTTTATTAAATAATAAAAAAGTCAAATTTAATTTGTTGAATTTTAATCTAAAATTTAAGGCTTCTCATTAATTTTATATTTACTATTTTTATATAAAATTTTATATAAAAACAAGTAATTTTTTGTGCCTATTTTAAGTGCCAATGTAAGTGCAACTTAATCAGTAATATATCTATATATACTATAATTAAGAATTTAAGTGATTTTTAATTTTTTCATAGTATTTTCTTAATAAAAACAATAATCGTTATTAACTTACATTTTCCATTATCTGGAACATTAATACTACATGTGAAGGAAAACAACACTGATAAGCACCAAACGGAGAAAAAAATGAATTTCATATTTTTCGATATATTTTCTTATATATAATAAATTGTTTTTTTTTACTAAATATATTTTATTGTTTTAAAAAAATAAAGGTTTATATTAAAGATTTTATTTTTTTACACACTAGAACACATCACAATAAGCGCGTGTAATCCGATCTTTAGAGTGACCCGGCAAGCTTTAATTCCAGCTTTCTGCTTCGATCGTCGACTCAACCTAAACTGAGTTGTGATTTCGAAATTATTTGTTTACACGCTGAGGTCAGAAATAAAACAGAAAAATTTTAATAAAACACATGAGTTAAATGTGATAATTAATGCCTTTTTTCGATGTATCTCATTTCAACTTTTGAGTGCGGTTAACTCATTTATATTAAGATTCATAGCAGCTTACGATCAAAGAGAAAAATTTAAAAAAGTTTTGGATGATTAATAAAAGTCGGCATTATAATTTATTATAAATCTTAAGTGTTCTCTACATTTCTATAAATATACTTGTACTACGAAACAAAAACCAACCACAACAAAAAATAGATATATGTACGAATGTAGTGATAACATTGTATTAGCTATTGGGATTTACATTATACAGACAATTAAACTTTAAAAGTAATATCAAATCTGCATAATAGTCTAGTGTCTAGTAGACAATAGACAACGTAAGCTAATCTGTATACTTAATTACTAACAATTCTTTTGCCTCCTGAATGACGTATATTGGGTAATCTGCATAAGATGTCAGAATAAATTATTATAAAACCTATAGTCGAATTGAAGTGAATTGTAATGGTTTCTTTTATAAAATAATTCACTATATATATAAATGTATTAAAATAATAATTAGTTTTAATTTTATGCTTAGTGAGGCTTAATTAGGCCCATTTCAACTCTTGTTTCTCTGCACCATATTTGCGTTACGCCAATAAGTGCTCTGTATGTTTGGAGTATGTTTGCAGAAATATTATTTACAGATATAAACAAAGTCGGACACAAGTTTTAAGATAGTCTCTGGACATGAAAATAAATGTGAACGATCTATTACTATATGCTTAACTTATACTTACTTACTTATTATATACTTACTTATTTACAGATATAAACAAAGTCAGAGACTAATTTTAAGATAGTCTCTGAACATAAAAAGAAATGTGAACGATCTATTGCCATATGCTTAACTTCACTCTAAGTTTTGCTTAATTGTCGTATTTCTGTTATGATTTTTTTTTTCTTTGTCCCCAGTGATTACTAATGAGATAGGGTGAAGGACACAGATGTTTTCCCCAGTGGATAACGAAGAAAAAAATCTTTAAAAATAATTCTAAACAATAAAAATAGTTAACTTATAGAGTTGAATTTTTTAGCATTGTTCATGACATGGAGAAAATATATTTCCTTGTCAAATTTTCTGTGCATTTTTCGGTTAATAGATTTTCTCGATCGATTTAGTTCCATATAATCAAGATGGCAATAAATTTTGGAATTTCGAATATAGCGCTTTTCACTGCGTAATCAGAGTACTTTCATATAAATAAGATTTAATCGTTTTAATTTAAACATGAGATGTAAAAGAGTCCATGTCCATGCTTCATTCTATATGTATGTATGTACATTTATTTTTTGAATTTATAATAAAAAGTTGTATAACATAATTTGTGAGTGTTATATTTGTTCCGTATTTTTAAAAAAGGATAATAGAAAACTTTTAAGTTGATTGTCTCTATCTATCAGTGGCGGAGCTAGACCAACTCTGGACGTCGGCGACATTAGAATTGCGAGACCCCCTTTATAATCCAGTTGTAAAAGTAAATGAGTTACTTTCACTAATATGACAAAGAATGATTGAAAGTTTTATTGCTAATCAAATTAAAATAAATACAAATTAAAATAAATGAATTTTCCTACTTTTAGATTCACTCAATTTTTTTTTAAATTACAGTGGACGTCCAATATAACGAATTTTATGTTGCACCCCTTGTTCGTTATATCGAAAAATTCGTAATATCGAATGTTATACATTTACCTACCAATATGGTTATTTTTAGGAGATTTCATATATTTGAGTTCATAAATTAACTTATAAACACGTACGAGTATATATTTATTTAAAAGTATTTTTTATTCGGTTGTTACAAAAACTATTTATAAGAAAGGACGCATTCAATCATAGTGTAGAATAAAAAAAAATCATTAATTTTTGTTTGTTTTTTACTACACTCAAGACTTTTCTGAACAGCTTTTTCTTGTAGTTCTCTTAGTACAGCTAATTTTGAAGTTTCATTATTGTTAATCGCCCACTTTATGCATTTTTCGAAATGATTTATGGCATCTTTATGTTTAATAATTTCTAAATTATTTTCTTCTATATTTTCGTCATCAGATCCATCATCCTCGTCCGAGATATCGATGGTATTATCAGCATTATTCCATTTATTAACTTCGTATGTACTAATGTCACACTAACAATAAAATTGAAAATATAATATAGGATATTTAAGCATAATATTCTTTCTTACATTAGGAAAAACATTTTGAAGTAATGTAATGGTTGTTTCAGTTACATTATCATTCGTTCGTGGTATAAGCTGAGCCAAAGGTATATCGTCCTCTTCATCGAACTCAATAGAATTAAATGACAACGATTTAAACGTCCGGCTTTGTCAAAATTAATTTTTAAATGATATTTTTAAACAAATACATATTAAATATAAACACCTTAATATGTACATATGTATGTCTGGATAGTATTTCGTATATGATAAACTGAATTTGTGAACAACAGATCAGTGGCGCCTGCATATATGCATTTTGCCATATATAGGCATTTTTCTCAGAAAAAAAAAAACGGACAATTACATGCATATTCTAAGCTGAATAATGCTAGTTTTATAGTAAAATTATATTCAAAAGCATAATTTGTATAAAACAAAAACGAATAAGAAACAAAAAATTTTTTGTTCGTAATATGGAGCAGAATTTTTTTTTCGTTCGTTATATAGAACAATCAATGTAAATATTTTGGGTGTTCGTTATATCGAAAATTCGTAATATCGAGCGTTCGTTATACTGGACGACCACTGTATATCATAATTTGCGCCAGCTGCTATTTTCCTTTCAGTTTATAGAATTTCGAATGGAGATAGTCTCTCTTGGATCATCATACTTTTCTAGTACGTCTTAATCAATTTTAAATTTGAGAAGCTTCTTTCCGTCGAAGCTATACTGACTGAAACTGTGAACATGAATCTGGTTACTATATAAACATTCGGAAATATTTCGAATATGGTTAATGCCATTATTAAACCAAATTGTTCAAAATATTATTAAGTGCTTAGAATCCACAGTCGGTAACTTTTTGCGAGGCCCCTGCGAGCGCGAGGCCGTCGGCGGTCGCCGAAATCGCTGACGCCTAGCGACGCCACTGCTATCTATCTACTAATTCTACTAATTCTCAGACTATAAGAATATCTTTTTCATTGCATGTATAATCATCCTACGTAATTCTGTCAAGATCTCTGAAACTACTAGTTGTAAAGGGGAAAGTAAGTAAATTTAGAATAATTACAAGAAAAAATAAAGCAAGACTTTTACAAAATTATCCATTATTTTGAAAACCTTTTTCTTTGCATATATGTTTTACTTCTGTTGCGTAGGGTGACATTCGAGATCACTGGAACTAATAATTGTAGAGTACAAAGTAAACGGATATAGAATAATTATATTAAAAGGTAAAGAAAGGCATTTACAAAATATTGCACTATTTTTTTTATTTTTGATAAATGGTGGTTATATGTATACTTACAGATACTGGTGCTTAAATGTCTGTAACTTGTAAAGAAATTCTTTAAATAAAGCTTTATAGTATTTTTAAATAATCGGTTAGATTACATCGTGTTGAAATTAGAATTGATATATTTTTTCTCAAGTTTTATATTATATTCTGTGCTTGTTCATTAAAATATAATTACTTTTCACATATCTTTTTATATATATTTGATATTAACTAATCACTTCTAAAATGTAGCATGTAATCTTTTCCTTTTTCTACCTTTGGAAACCTATGGGTTGACTCCAAGTGTTGAGTTATATTTATATTACTATATATAAATTTATTGAACTTAAGCAAGTCTAAGCATGAAACATGACAAAAAATGTTACTGGGTAGTGTCCGGTTCTTACGAAGTGACCTATATTATTATTATATTATGCGCAAAATGAAGACAATCGAATGGTCTCCGATGCAGCAACTACCGAGAGTTTTGCGCTGCAGCATTTTGCTTAAGAACGTCAACAAACGCGTAATCTTAAGAAGTATGGGGAAGAGATTTCAAAAAAAAAAAATTAATTTTTTGTTGAATCATTTTATTGTTTTATATGTAAAGCGACATTTATTGCAGAGCTGTTCTGTAATTATTCAATCTCTTGCAAAAGTGTACTCTTTTTTCTATATGAAAGGTCTTATCAAATCGTTTAAGATAAGATTTAAATCTGTATGGCAGTTTTTATATTTATATGTACTTATAAAACCAAATACTAGTAATGCGAGTGAAATATACAAAAATCGACAGCAAAAGTTTTCAAAACTTTTCAGTGAGACGTTACCTTTGAAAATGTGATGTTCTAATGAAAGTATTTCTAAGCAAGATCCGGTGAAATTTTAGTGAGAAGCTCTCTCTGAGTGTGTGTATTTATATATTTATTTAATAAGTGCGGGAAATAACCGATATCAAGAGCGTGTTTAACTAAAATTCGATTCGTATCTGTGCTATAAACTGAAATTGTTTGTGGTTATGTGGATATAATAATTTTGTTTGTCTAGTGAATTACATATTTTCGTTGTGTAGGTTTTTTTCGTAATCACAAACTGTCAAACATTTATTATTAATAAATAATTTAAAAGTGATTTCAATATAAGGCAATAATTCTCATAGCAATTTTATTTACATATACGAGTATTTCAAGCTGTTAATGGGCTACTGGGAAAATGCATTATTTTTGTGATTCATTTGAAATAATTTTACACTTTGAATTATAAAATTTTTAATATATTCATAAAAAATATTAATGGAATTGTTAATAATATTATTACATGTGTTTTTAATTTATATTATTAAACCATTTAAATAACATCTAAAATAATAAAAGCTCGCAAATACATCTTTAATATATGGCTACTATGGTCGTGTGCGAGTTGAACTAAATTAAAGTAAAGTAAATTGAAATTTTCTAGGCATTCTTTGCACTGCACTTATGTAAATATTTATTTATTTATTTGATGCACTTATTTATCATTTTTGGTTTAAAATTTTTAAAATTTTTTATTTATTTATTAAACATCTTACAAAATTTTTGTAATGGTAACACCTAATTTACTTAATTTTTATCTAATTTACCCTACTCGAAATTCTAGTAAACACCAACATTCACACCCATACCGACATAATTCACTAATTTCCTCAATTTACCATCAATTTAGTCGAACTCGCATACGGCCTGTGTAATGGTTAATGTGTGGTAATAGAAAACTGACTTCAGTGGATATTTTTTAATTGCGAAAAAACTTTAAAAAGATAACATCTATATCACTTTATGAATTTATAATCAATTTAATCTAAAAATAAACTACACTTTTTGTTAACAAGTTTTATGGTGTCTATTAAATGTGATATATATGTTTATTGTAAGGCCGCGCATTTAAAATAATAAAATAATACTTCAATCTAATTTCATCAGTTAATTATTTCATTTCATTTCATTAATAATTCAATTTTTTTTTGAGTAATTAATTGTTTTAATTGCCAAATATTTTTAATAATAATTTTGTATTTTAACGGACTTATTGGTCAGTAGTTCAATAATATACTTTTTAAAAAATTGTTTTTGGTTTTTAAAAAATATTTAAACCGATATTTCGACTCTAATTTATAGTTATCATAGCCATAGCCATAGTACCCAGATGATGACTATAGATTATAGATGAAATATCGGTTTAAATAAAATTTTTTAAAACCAAAAACAATTTTTTTAAAACTTAACAGAACCAATTTTTTTTTAATATGTATTAAATTTTTTTAAAATGTCTTGAACAATAAATATATACATATATATATGATATTTGTATAATGTTTTGGAGAAATATAAACCGGTCTATACTCATAGACGTTTACTAGTGTTATGTACTGGAATTAAAACTATAGCCATCTGCTTCTATGCTACACTTTAATTATAATAAATGTTATGAAATAAATAATATTGTTAGATCTGCAATATAATAATTTCCCAGATATAAATTATACCTATGTTAAAAGCTACCAAATATTGGGTTATCGAGGTACGTAGTATTAAGTTCGCCCAAAGTAAAACGTTTACATAGTTACCTCTATTATTTATTGCAATAAATAGCATTTATTATGTTATGATATGAATTATGATTAGCGCAATATCCTTATTATTAAATTTGAATAAAATTACTAAATTTATAGACTGGATTGTATTTGAGCATATTTATTGGCTTACTTCGGTAGACTTAATTAGAATTAGAATATATATTATAGATATGTTATAGATTTATAAGTTTCTAAATTGATATCTGTAATGAAGTTATAGATTTCGTGTTTTATAATACAACAAAAAATTTAACTTGAACAACTATTTCGAAAAATAGTGATATATTGATTTATTATAATACAGCAATGACAGTTTAACCGCACTGCTAGTTAAATATATGTGAAATATTTGAAATATAAGTATATTATTTAAATTTACAAGAATTAATTAACAATGGAAAATTATATATAAATTGTCGATGGTGTGATGAGTACAGTTTGAAAAAAAAAAATGTTCAATTCTTATTAAATAAAGATCATCAATAAAAGGTCATCGAATCGTTGCAATACAATCTGAAGGTGGTAATTGTCTACCCTTTGTCTAGAATGATAAGGAGTTTTTATTAAGCGATTACATTTTGCTATGCTTTTTTCATTAGTTGGTGATTTAATATCATTTTAGTTGTTTTTGTGTTCAATTAAAAAAATAGATCTCACATCAAAAAATAATCTTAACATATTTATTAATTATTTTATATCTAACATATAATTAAGCAGCAATTTAATCATTTTTTATTACATACCATATTACATATATTTAATTATTTCATATATTTGAATATATAATAAAAAAATAAACAAAAGTTCCCATTAAGCAAATATGCCACCCTATTATATATTTTGTCCCAAAAGCAAGCCTCACACCGAACAGAAGTATTCATTGGTCCAAAATCTCTTTCTTCTTATTCATCAGAGTCGATCTTTCGTTATTTTTATCTTTAAATTTAATTATAATGCAAAATAATATTTGCTAAAACCCAAATAAATTAAACCAAGATCTTTGATTACTTTAAGTGGCTTTTACCGGCCTAAGTCTTCACTTGAGTGTTTGAAAATAGCACCAAAAAACTCGTTACTGTTTTTGATGATCTGTATTTGCCCACAGATTGCGATGTACGTTTTGTTAACAGTTTTCTCATGGTCAAATGTTCTTCCAAAATGTTTATACACTTCTTTCTGGTATCTTTAAGGATGACATGTTTATATTCTTCAACTTCACTTTATGGTTGTTCAAAATAATCCATAATTTTAAACGTTATCAGTGTCTGTAAGGCCATGTTTAAACTTAACAAATAAAAAGCTATTTTCAATAGAGAAGAGTATTTGCAAAGTATTTTTCTTTTAAGCTTACTACTAAAATCCATTTCGCATGAAAAATTATAAAACTCCATATAAAAAAATTTTCTACAATATTCAAAATTTTTGGAACATTCGTTTTATATAGAGTTTTATGTCAAATTTTCTTGTGAAATGGATGTTGGTACTAGGCTAAGTATTGTTGGTACTAAGTATTCTTTGCAAATAATTTTCTCTATTGAAAAGAGCTTTTTGATTTGTATATTATAGAAATTAGAAATTATTTTTCTTCCATTATTTTGAAAATACTAAAACTTTGATTAATTAAACAGCTGCAACTCAATGACTAACATTGCCATTGTACCAATTGAAAGTTACTGCTTTATTGTAATTAGTCACCATATTGAACTCATAAGAAGTCTTGGGTGCCTTTGACTTCGGAACCAAATATTAATATAATATATTATATTCTTAACCAAAAATTTCAAATTAAATAAGTAAACTATGCTCCAGTTTCGTTCCATTTCTTTAATCCCTTTTGGTTTCCTAACTAAAGGCATATCTGTTTTTACGACAAAAACCTACGCCATCAATGTAGAGTTCGATGGCAATAGCCTGCCTTCTCAAAAGTTAAGAGTAATATGGCTCTTCTTCATAAAGGCAAACCTGGAAAGAATATATTTGGAAGCTGCATGTTCATTTTCTTTTCACCTTTGCTAATCTTTATAATACGGTAAATGTTCACATGGAAGAGCAAAATTGGCAGGCCTTTCAATATCATTACCGTTCCTTTGCTGTGGTGGTTTCATATCACTTCTTGATAAACTTGATTTCAGTCGCGTATTTTTTATTCAAACACGTTATCTAGTTATGAGAAGGTGAAAATACTCCTGCCCATCTTCTGGTTTAGAAACTTTTGGCAAACATCGACCCTATTTATAAACTTATAAAATCTCGTTAACATGTATTTTTCGATATTTTTTATATTAATCTGTTATCAATACAAGTATATCTATTCTATAGGTTGCCCCTAAGTTGGTTGTTTCTGTATGATATATTATTGAGTGACAGCAATTTTCTAAGCAAACACAAAAGCTCTCTTATAACTTTCAAAAACCTTTCTGACACATACAAGTTCTATCCTATGCAATAAGTAACTTATATCAAAGGAAACGACAAAATATTAAACTTATTTAAGTAACTTACTTAGTAAGCAGTGGAAATTTGGTGTAAACATTAATTTTGGCAATAAATTTTTAGAATTATACTATTTCTGGTTTAAAATGTGAAGACTCGAAGAAATACTTATAACATATGCTAATTATAGTTACTATTTTTTATACTTAAAATCTTAAAAAAGATTGTAATAAAGTGTGTGCTTTTTTAACATATATATGTATATATATATAAGTTGTATATAGCAATGCTTAAATAAAAATAAATTATAAATTAAATATAATAAATTATTATTTTTTATGTTTTCTTTTAAGCTTTTGATATATATTTATATAATATTAATTACGTATGGTATGTAAATGTTTAATTTTGAAGAATGTTTAAAGTAACACTAAACACGAAAGTGGTTAATGTACGCTTTTCTGAATGTTATTAACAAAAAAAGCATAGAAATATTAAACGGTGATGTTTTGATAAATGCTTGATATCATTGCGACAGTTGAAAGCATGATTAGATATTATTTATGATGCCAAATAAATATAATTCAGTGCCCATAATGATAAAACTCAAAACCGACGGATAAGTTTATCTGTGTATTTTAATAGTTTTTATTTAAAGCAATTAGTATGTTTACTAAGGGCTAATTTTCTTCTATATAAGCTAACAAAAGTTTTATGCTATTTTAAGAAGTATCTAACTGGATGACAACTACGAGCGAAATTCGAACGGAACTATGAGTTATCTAAAATTAATTTAAATAAATTTTTGTTTGTTAAAAATTCAAACAAACAAATAAAAATTTAATATTAAATAAAATTCACAATAATATTTCAACATATTACTTCATAGTCAGTGATAATTCATACAATGGGAAAAGTAAATCGACGCCTACTTCCTATTAAGGCGCATTTTCTTTTTTTCATGGCCGGTAAGCTTAAAATTTCTTTTCTTAAATTAAATTAATTGTTTTCTATTTATCAGCTATGGGACCTATTTTACCGCAATTATCTGTACTAGGCAAAGAAATAGGTATATCTCCTGAAATAATGGGTGTTATAACATCAATACTACCAATTATGTATATTATTGCTAAGCCATTATTCGGTTTTGTAGCAGACTATTTTATGGTGAGCAGATATATTAATGTCATATATATGTATATATAATACAGTGAAAATTCTGTTAAATGTACTAACTTATAACCAATTACTTAATAAATTATTAGTATAAATTTTTTATTCAAAGTCCGTTCTTTTAAATGTACAGTTCTCCTAATTGTCCTAAGTGTCCGCTTAAAAAAGTTTTCACTGTATTTATAATGTTTTATTATAACTTATTGCTTCGTCTTCTTTCAAACAGAAATTGCGGAAAGTAATTTTTTTACTCTTGATTTTAACCATGACCCTATCCTATGGAGCATTTTATTTCATACCGAATCAACAAAATCATATAATAAACGTTAACAGTAGTACAGAGTTAACTGTTTGGAGTCTGCAAATTTGTACCAAAGATGTAAGTATAGGTCAAGATACTGTAAGATTATTAATTTTTCTCTTTTTATTTAAAATATTTTATATTTTTTTTATTATTATTTTGCATATTTTATATACTTTATACAACATTACTGCATATATGCCACCTATCAGCCTCTAAATGTCTTATCACACTTTAAGAGCGAAATGCCCCGTTTTCGGCATTAGGAGTTCTGATGTTGGCATTAATATGTTTGCTCTACGACAATTGTCTCACTACATTGTCGTATTTTTGATTTATCTGTCATTATTGCTGAGCATGTAAGCAACTTGGAACCATTTTCTTTTTTTTTTGTCGGAGAGGTCCTCTGTTATCGAGTGTGAGGAGGTCTTCCCTGCTAATAATGTTAGGATAAAAGATCTTATGAACATGAATACTGTTCTATATTTTTCAGGTCCCTAGCCTACAAGGTTATAAAATTAAATATGTTGTTAAAAATTCAGCATTTTTCATGCCTAGAAATATGTTTAGCGCCAAATTTTGCTGTTTTATTTTAGTTTTATTCTTGACGTAGTGCACTACGTTATATGATTGATAAGTTACAAACCGATTATTGAACCTAGTTAAGATAATTCACTCAGATATCGATCTGAATTCAGGTAGTGCAGTGGCGGTAATAAGATAGTGTGAAGTCACTCTATTTTTCCAAATTCTATAGTTAGCGTTGAAGTTAGCAGAAAAAGTTTATAATATCCCTTTACCAGTTCAACGGGTTTCAGCAAACCTGGAAATTCTATTGTACTTCATTATTGCGTGTGTGAATTTCTCTAGTTCAACTAGTTCAAGATTTAGTTTTTGTCATATTATGTAGATCGTTTACAACTCTTGTGGGATGCTAATTCTTGCAATTGATTTATTGGCCCTACGTAACTTTATATATGGCAATGGGCATTGCACTGGCAAAAGTATTTTTTGAAGTTTCAGTTATTGCCAATTGTTAATATTTGTTACTACAAGATATAGAAATTTGAAAGCCAAAATAGAAAAATTAATAAATATCAACAAAAAACAAAATAATTACTATGCAAAAATCCTATGATCTTATCTTATCTATGATCTATATCTAAAAAACCTATACCCGTAATGAGCTCATTGAGCAGTGTTTGGTCATATCTGAATTAAATATAAAATTTTAATTATGTGTTGACTTAATTTTATTGATAAAATTTAAAATAAAAAATAATAATTTAAAATTAAATAAACAATTTATAAAGTTTCTACTGATATTGTCAATATAACTCTTGCGCCTCTTTTATAGGTATTAACAAGTTCCTCGCTTTGTTCGTCAACGCGAGGTGGCTTATGCTCAGACCAGGAGTCCACATTTGAAGTAAACTTTATCGATTTAAATAACATAAAAAATCATGAAGCAATTCTCGAAAGTAATGCACACCTATTGAATTTGCACGTGTGTCTCCCAATGGAGAACTTTTCCAACAGCTCAGTTAGTATGGTACCAATTCACTTGAATTGTACAGTGTATGACTTTAAGACGGAAGATTGTTTATATCGCTCCTCGACATTTTGGCTATTTGTGATATTTATGTGTATGGGTACTATTGGCTTCAATGTCACAAACTCAATATCCGATGCAATATGCTTTGACATGTTGGGTAAAGACGATGAAGACAAATATGGAGCACAACGTGTATGGGGAACTATTGGTTTCGGTTTAACGGCTTTATTATCTGGTATTGTTGTTGATCTTTGGACCGTAGACACAATAAAAAGTTTTACACCCGCATTGTTGATAATGCTGATTTTTAGTTCTTTAGATATGATAAGTGTATCTAAATTGAAATTACCCCAACTTTCGGCATCCGAATCGATTTTTAAAGACGTTTTGAAATTAATTTCGCTTAAACCAATTGCAATATTTTTAATTTTTGCTACAATGGCTGGCATAATAGATTCATTCATAATATATTTCATGTTTTGGCACATGGAAGAAGTTGCAGCCGAAACTGGTTTCATGAGCCAAATAAAGTTAATTGAAGGATGTGTTGTTGCTGCTGAATGTTTGGCTGGCGAAGTACCTTTCTTCTTTTACAGTGGAAAGATTATTAAAAAACTTGGATACATAAATTGTATGAGCATGTGCTTCTTCTTCTATGCAGTGCGTCTTGCACTCATCGCTTGGATACCAAATCCTTGGTATTTAGTAGGCGTGGAATTATTCTTTCAAGGTGTTACTTATGCATTATGTTACACGTGCATAGTGGCATATGCAAGTGCTGTTGCACCCCCAGGAACATCTGCAACTGTGCAAGGATTAATGGCAGGAATGGATGATGGATTAGGTTTTTCAATTGGTTCACTGATAGGTGGTTTAAGTTTTAAACACTTCGGCGGAAGGAGAAGTTTTGCTTACTTCGCTGTAGCGGCTATTATAACATGTGGTGCACACATTATTTTAAGGCCGTTGTCCCGAAAACAACAATATTTACCTAATAGTGAATATATGGCGCCTACTGAACAAAATGAGACGAACGAAAGTAAGATATAGTAATTATATTTTTTAGTATTTTTTTTATATATTTGTATTATATATATTGTTTAAATGATTTTGGACAGTTATTCGTATTATATTTGCAATAAATAACTGTGATATGTAACTTAATTAATGCATTTTGTATATTTTGAATAAATAAATATATCAAATTCAAATTTATAGTTTTTTTAATTAATTCTTGACAAGATTGAACTTGTAATATATTATTTAAATATATAAATTATTTTTAAAAACAGAGATATGAATTCTTATTTTTATATATATTAAAATAAGAACAACTGCGACTGCAGCTTACAAACTGTTAATTGTGTTCTTCGATAATAACAGAAAAAGTTTAATCATAATTTTAGACAGTATAATCATACATAAAGGATAGAGCCCTAAAATTATTTGCGAAATCTGACAGACTTACCAACACCGCGTTATCAAATCTCACAATGGCTACAGGCTTCTCGGGGAGGTATGCAGATCTGAGGTCAATTATTGCTTAGTCTGATGAAGTGACAAACAATAATCTAGTCAAGGTACAAATTGGGGTTTTGAAGAAACCTCGCAGTTAATAGAGAGTAAAAGTGCTCAGGTGCACTCTGACTCAACTGCCTCAACATAATAATAATAATCATACTTAATAACCCGCAAAACTGTAGGATGGGTTTTATTTTTGTTCATTTTTCTACTTGATATTTTCTGCGATGAAATTGAATGCTTATAATTACATTTAAAAATAATGAATTTATATTTCTAAACTCACTTTGAATTTATTTACATTTATACTTGCGCATGCACACATACAGATATTACATTATTACATTATCCGCTCCCTTGAAAAGCGCGGAAGTATTATAACAAAATCTTACTAAATCGGTGCGTACATAGATGATGTTGCAATTATTCCAAGTAACGAAAGAAAACTGTCAAACGTCTTTATGTAATTGAATGAAAAAACTGAAAACGTTGGTCTGAAAATAAATGAGACCAATGCTAATGCTAATCCGATGACAAAAAGACATGACGTGTGAAAGGACTTCAGAAAGCTCTGAATTGGAAAAGAACTGCAGAAGAATGAATCAGATGGAGGCAGGTTGTAAAGGAAGCCAAGGTTCATACTGGACTGTATAGACTGCACAAAACCAAATAAGAAAAAGTAAGAAGTAACTAGTGAACTTGAGGGTAAAAATATATATGTTTATATAGACGAAAAATATACTTTTGTAAGTCGGATAATATTGAAATATTCCGTACAAATTTTGCACTTATCGTAATGCTCTGATTCTGGAAATACCTTACATAAGTAGAGTAGTTTTTTTGTAATATAAATCTGGCTTGGCTCGAAAAAGTTTTTTTTATTAGAGGTCCTTTTAGAGCTGATAAAAGTTATAACAATTGTAGTATCAAAGTTGATAGTATTGATGGAAAAAATTCTACTGACATCTCAAAACTTCTAAGAACATGTTGAAACTATAATGACACATTGAACGGAGTTCCACGGAAAAAGAGGATAAGAAAGACCAAAACTAGATTTGGTGATTTCATGACTTAAGTACCATAAAAGAACAAGACTCTTAATCAAAGTTGACCATAAATATAAGTACTAATTTCAAAGATAATTCAAAAAAAAATCTATAATTTGTAGAATATAATAAAAAACATATATGTTACAATATATGTGTTGATACTTGATCTTTGTAAACTTTTTAGTTTTATAAAAAAGTTACTGTTTACGATGAACATATACCAGACAAACATATATGTAGTTCAAATTATTTATTATTACACATGCAGTGTAAAACAATAAAATTTGGAATACCTGTAATTTTAAAAATATTAACGAAGTTCCAGACAAAAAGATATTCTTTTCACATCTGTTTTACGATACGCGCGTGTTTTTTTTCATATACAAAATGGGCACCTATATAATAGTATATTATATTATATATTTTTAAATAACAACATATTGTAATACATTTTTACTTAATAATAATTATTTTGTTAATATAGTTTCTTGAAAAATAAAGACATGTAGGAACAGAGAGGTTCAATGAACTATTACATCAGATCAACTACACTTAACTGTATTTATCAGTATTTATTGCTAATAATAAACAATTTGCAATGTTCTTGATCTACCTCCCTGATTAAAATATATTCATTATATGAATATTGGTCAAATCTATTGTATTTTTGATTATATCTCTTACAAAACCCAAAAATTACGAATTAGACATTACATACTTTACCAGGATTTAACTACAGAGCCATGATGTCCCGAAGTAGTGTAAACAAGGTTAAGAATGAGAGCTCCACATTAGAAAAATGTATAATACCATCGTGGCAAAAGTAATGATGGTTAAACCTAAGAACTCGAATTGCCCACAGAAGCCCTCTCCAAGAAGGTGTGACTGCTTGATATCTGACTCTACAGATATGCACCTCAATTAATATATGTAGTATAAAACAGAAAATTTTAAAAAAAAGGATATAATTAGTGAACAAAATTTTTAATCCCTATTTCAGTAGAAACATAAAACGTCTCCTAGGATCTACATTTTGAACATTACGCTATTTGCGAAAAAATTGTTTTGGATATTAATGTAGAACTAATTTCCATTTATTATTTATTATATATATATGTATATACCAGCTGAAAGTATTATAACAGAGTTTATACCTTCAGCTTAAGTTTTCTTCATTATTCTCTAAACTGTTACTTAAAGTCCCTTCACATAAGTCCAGGCATCTTATACTGTTATAACTATTTGTTAACAATCTATAGTCATATTTGTTTTGAATGCAGTGTTGGTTAGTTGGAATTTCTGCTTAAAAAGTCGATCGTTTCATTATAGACAATTACAGAAGAGCATATTGTCATGGTTGTTCTATTATTATTGATTCCATGCTTGGTTTCAATTTGCACAACAGAATCTTGTTTGAGTACTTCGTGTAAGACCTATCCAGTATATATTTATTGATTACACACAATGGGAGACAACGATAATGTATGCAATGATTAAAATTCTATCGAATTGATAACTTGACTGAATTATTTCTTTATTTGCTTGAAGCAAATAAAGCAATAAATACATTGGTGGATATAAAAATTTTGATGATACTCGTATATTCCCATTTCTAAAACATTACACAAATAAAAGATTTTTTTTCTATTTTTTTTTTATAGAATACTAGTAGATGACCCGGCGAACTCTGTTCCGCCTTAAAGGCAATAAATAAGCAGTTTTTTTTTAATTGGAAAAAATACAAAAAAAAAAAAAATACCTACATTAATCATTCATAATTTATTTGTGTATTTTAGTACACATCGCAAATTATCTATTTGTTGACCTCTGTTGTTCGCTCGACCTTCAGTCCTTAAATTTGCAGTATTTCGTATTCTTCTTGCATTACGGCTTTGTCGGGAAAGATTCGATCGTTATATTTCTATCTGTTAAATTTTAATAAAATATTTTCTTATATCAAAAATTTGATAATTTCAAAACCTACTTTGTCGTGAACGGGATAAACAGGTATCCTATGTCCTTCTCCTGGCCTTAAACTACCTCCCTGGCAGGGAGCTAAATCGGTTCAGCCTATATCCTTCTCCTGGCCTTAAACTACCTCCCTGCCAATTTTCAGCTAAATCGGTTCAGCCGTTCTTGAGTTATAAGTGGTGTAACAATAACACATCTTTCTTTTATATATATAGAAGATTATTAACACAGTATAATTAATAAGAATATATATTAGTTTAGTATAATAACATTTTTTACATAGAAAATAATTGGTTAATGGCGTTACATTCTAAAAATAAAAAAATTTTTTTAATAAATATTAACTTTTAATTCTATAATATGACACATTTTAAAATTTAATAAAAGGGAGATCAGATAAATTTGCTATTGCAATTCCTAAACTCGTTGAGAATATTACAACAATGCAATTCTAACAATTAAGCTTTTTCACATGTTTTAAATTAAATAACTAAAGAAATTAAAATATTGTATATTGTATGTAAATTATTATTATAAATGTGTTCTGATTAAGGTAAACAACTAATGACTTACTAGGTGCTCCATCTATTTTATTAAAAAACTGGTGCTTTGAGTTAGTAAGATTATTAATAAATAAAAATATTTGTTTACATAATTTTTATAATAATTTATATAATTTTTATAAAGATGTTTCAAAAAGTAGTGAATTACATACAACAAAAATTATAAATTTTTATATATAATATTGATATAATATATAAAAATATGTTATGGAAATGGAAAGTACTGTTAAGTGCTTAAAAACTCGATTTATTAAATCTAAAAGATAGAGCTAGATCAGGTATGTAGCCAAAATGAACCACTGAAGACACAATCAAGAATTATGAACGTATGTTTATATAACACAAAAAAAAAAGAATTTGACAACGATAAAGGCAATTTAAAGGCTTCGAGACTTATTTAGAAGAAACTTAGTATCTGCAAGTAAAAATCTTATATGGTATGATAGCTTATAATGATTTACAATAATGCTGTGAAATATTGATTTTTTTTTTAATAAAAAAATACATATTTATGCATATGTAATACAGATACCATTTTTATTTTGTGATATTTGATGCAATGTACATATAATTACTTGATTGAAGCAAGCAGAATAAAGCTAACTCATTATTTAGATATTAACAGTTAAAAAGAAATAAATTATTAAATTTTACTCCACAATTATTTTAAGATTTATAAACGCTTTGTAAGAAATTTTTATCCTAGTTCCTATTATTTTTAATTGAGTTATTAAGATATCTAATATACCTATAACTTAATGGATTGCAAATAAATGGTTGTACGGAATGTTATTTTTGGTTCTCTTTGAATATTATTTTCGCAAATGTCATTAGCCGCTGTACAGTAGTTTCAGTACTGTCATTTGATTAGCAGCAGTGAGAATTTCGTAAACAGAACCAAATATATATTAATTACAACTGAAATTATTAAGTTTATTTAATTAATAAGTGCATATTGTTATCACTTCAACTTTTTTTAGCTTTTGTTAATTAAAATCTAGGTGCATACATTTTCAAATTGGTAAATTTATTAAAAATGTTCTGGACTGAATACAGATTTCATTGATTTTATTATATTTATCAAAACAGCTGATGGCTTCGGCATCAAGTAGCAGTGCGCGCCATCTATTTAACGATAGCAAACAACGTTTATGCGACCGTGTTGGTGTAAATGTTAATAATTTGGGGTCTGTAGCACGTCAAATTGTGCGGGGCTCGAAATCAAATGAGGTGATTTGAATTTAAAGAATTTGCATTTACGTTTTTATATAAATATTGTATATATTTTATTTAGATTTTGGGACAGACTATAAAGAATTTTACACAAGTCGACATTGTTTCGGATTATAGTAGTCAAAATTTAAATAAAATGGAATTGATTTTAAAACACGTCAACTACCAACATGATACCATACTGGATAGCATCAATCATTTAGATTTTGTAATGGAACAAGTAACGTCTATGGAAAGATGATTAGAAGAGAACAGAAGTAATAGATTGTAAAAAAGAAATGGTACATTTGCTTTGGTGATCCACAAATTGTTTTATATAAAGATTTACATTCTAATTACTTTTGTTTAAGAAGCTCTAAACCATTTGGAAAATATTTATATCATTTTCAGAATATGATTGGCGTATAATACCTAGTTAAGATATGTTTTTCAGTTTGGATAATACAAGCTCATTTAATTGGGCTATTTCTTAAAAGAAGTATCGAAGAGCTTTCATCTGGAAGTGCTCTTGATTGTAAAAAAGCATTTATAAAGAAATACTCTTAACAATATCTTGCACATTGGCTTTCAGTTATAAATTTAAATTCAAAATTGTCGATTTACTGACTATTAACCAGCCACTAGTATTTTATCTGTAGTCTTTTTTACCTCTTATATTAAAATGTATTTTATTTAAATTAAATTTAAAAAACTTCTAACCTATATATGTTAAGTATGATTAATTTTTTTGTATTGAATATTAAATAAGCATATTAGTTTTTTATCTTAATAATATAATATAATAGCAAAAAATTTTAACTAAATTTTTATTGCAATTAAATATATTTATAAAATATATATATATGCTGTATAATTTATGCTACAAATGCTTAATAAAAATTTTTATTTTTCCACTTTTTCTAAATTAACTTATAAGCTGACTTTTTTCTGTTCGTTTAGAGTCGATTGAAGCATGAAAGATCTATCTCAATTAAATTTAAATTCCTATTATATTCTCTTTATAAGTACTTCAGATAAATTAGGTGTTAGCATCTCGACTACCGAACCATAACAGTGTTTTTCAGGTAGAAGTTATTACTATTCGCTTAGTAGTAAAATAGGTCCTATGCAACAAGATCTCCGATATAAATATCGTAATCTTTACGGACAGCAAAGTCGCTAACTAATCACTGGTGAGCACTACTACAACATATTTAACAGTTCCAGATTCCCGGCTTTCTCGTAGCATAGCTAGACGTGTAACTGTCCAGCTCACATGGAGCAACTCGAGCAACTGTAGGGCAAACAATCTTGTCAAGATATTCATTTTTCTTATATTGGTATTCCACTTGCAATGGCTACATATTGCATTAAACAAAAATATATTTGTAAAGCTAAAAAACATGGTGAAAAAAACATATTAACCTAATCAAAACCGGGAAACTTATTAGTCAGCTAATTCAACTAAAGGGTGATCTGCTCAACACTACGGCATCAGTGCTACCAGTACGATTTTGATTTTGCAGATATTTTGATTTGTGAACAGACATTAACAAAATCAGCTAGTTATTTAAAATCAGGTTTTTAATTACATTATATACCTCACTTCTCCAGATATTGAGGCCGAGATTGAAAGTTGTAAACATTTTGTAATATATTTTACTTTTAACATTAGATTGTGTAACATTAAAGCCCGATATCTTGGAGTTTAGTTTACAATATATGTTATATATTAATATATATAGAAAAAGTTTCTCAAAAATAGTTGCCCCACCTTAAATCCGTTTTCAAATGGCCCTATTAGAAATTCCAAGGAATTTCGGCCAGCACTAATTGAAGTTACGTGTTTAGCATAACTTCCCCTTGATAAAGAGCGACACCCATCCAACCTCTGTTTATCTTTAGGTCGCAGCACCCGGTGGGAATACGCAACTTCACTCAGAATGAAAGTAAAATGCAACCATTCTTCCCGCGCAAGTTTGGGTATTAACAACAGAGACCATGATACTGCCAACCTCAATTGGTAAAGACAGCTGCCGAAGCTGCGGGCATTTGAACCCTGTAGTACCTTACAATCATTCACACTTGATCAATTGTAAAAAGAAAATTAAAGTCCTTTACACTGCCTATGTTATACCTACAGTTTGCTTTATTAACTAATTTTTATACTTAGAAATTGTCTCTCTGCGTTCTCAAAACTAAACTATCATTATTTGTATGTAATACATATTTTTGGATGGGAAAGAACATACAAGGTAAAGTGTCTGATAGAAACTGCTCCGGCTACAAAGGTATTTGATTCGGTACCAGCAGGTGGAAAACGTGGTAGAGGACGTCCGCATCTTCCGTGGAAGGACCAGGTGACCAACGATTTGGGGACTTTCGGTACTGCCAACTGGAGTCAGAAAGCAACTAATCGGACTGTCTGACGGAGGCTACTCGAAGCGGCGAAGGACGACTCACGTCTGTAATGGCCACCTAAATAAGTAAGTATGTAATATATATTTGTGAGAATTTAAATAAATAAATAAATTGTGAGAATACAAAGTATGAATTTCATAATTTATTTATATTTATGTATTTCTAAAATATTGATCTGCTTTTTCAATGTTCCTATATACTTCAGATTATTTTAATAAAAAACAACATTTTTAATAAGTTTTATAAAACAATTAACACAGTTTGATTTTTAATCGTTGTTCTTATATTATTAATTATATATAAAAAATTTTGTGCAATTTGATCGCTTTTTTGATCATGTTAAAAAATAAATTAATCACTGTAACGAATTCTTTTGATCTTGATCGTTTACTTATGTCATACATGTTACGGAAACAATTTTATTACCGGAATTATTTGAAAAAAAATATTAATAACTAATCAATCTGCTTTGTTCGATAAGTATTTTTTGAACTGGGAACCGCAGTGATTGTTAATATTAAATTACACAAAATTATTTTTAATAAACTTTTTGAATTAGAAGTATTTTGCATCAGAAAAAAAGGCGTTGTTAAAATAACTTGAAATTTTCGTGATTATTGAGATGTATTTTTAATTGATTTCATATGGTAAATCGATATAAGCTTTTAAGTACTAAAAAAAATGTAATTGAAAAAAAATTATTATTATAACCATTTATATATAGATTTATGCTATTAATTTTTTATTAAACTATTTTAAAATAAGACAATACTTGAAACAGCGTTGTATGGGCAGCCAAATTTCAAAAAAATAACTAAATTTTTGTTCTTATCTTTTCTTTTCTATTCGAAGTCTTCTAAATATTAAAAATAGTTTTTTTCTCGTCATAAGAGGCGCAGCTTTCTATAAAAATAATTAACTTTAAGACACTTTTATGTTAAGGGCCTTTTTTAAGAAAAATTGTCGAATGGAAGATTTAACTATAAATTGGAATCATTCAATTTAATTACTAATGAGTTATACCTATATAGAGATAACATGATCCTTTAGTTTAGATTTGTTCCGTTAGTAATGATATTTTACATTGAGTGGATAATCGATTAAACTCGTAAAAATAATGGACAGTAAAAACGCCTTACTTTATAAAGTGAGCCGTTTACCTCAATTCATATGTTTGTCCTGGTATCTCTTTGGGATACAGACACTACAACTTTCCTGAAACCCTTGATTGATAATGTTGAAGTTGTTAGAACGAACTTCTCTTTCGCAATGGCTGTGACCAAGAGGTTAACACGGATTGATTACCTTACTTTTCACTAAGTTATTTTGGAAGAATCTTGCTATTTGTAAGAGTATTCAAACCTTACACTAATATGCAAAAACAGAAGTTATCTTCTGACTAACGGCAGTTACCACCGGCTTTTGGCCTATTGAAACACATACAGCCAAAATGGAAAGCCATCATTGAATACTCATTGACACAACTGAAATCAGCCGGAAAAAAAATTCATTTTATATTTCTTCTAAATATGCCTCGCTTTTTGACAGCAGTAACTCTCAGTAAACTATTCTAATTATGAGTAAAATTCAGAATAAAAACTAAATTTTAGAGTTTAGAAGAAAGAACTTCCATATTTTAAGTATTACTTTTCAAAATTTTGTCAACTCAATGTTGCTATTAACATTAGGCCAGAATTTTTTGAGTTCAGTAAATTTTGTGTATATATTTTTCAGTATTCTCATTTAAAGGTAGTAAGTTAAAATTTTTTAAAATATGGGTTAGCAGTGGTTACGCAGTGGACGCAGATCGAAATTACAAGAGTGTGGCTTGAAATGCCAACAGAAAAGAGACCCTCCTCGAAGTAATGCGAAAGCGATTCCGAGGGAGAATAGGTCTCGTCGAATAGGGGATGTTTTAGTCTGTATATTACGTATTAATGTTAGGGAGTCGGACACACCATTCCGAAGACCATTCCAACCTCCTCACAATAAAAAAAAAAAATTATGACTCAGCTACAACTGAAATGATTTAGTAATTTTTGTTCCATCAATATATCTTAAGTCCAAAATTACACCAAAACACTGTAAAGGTCTATGAGTTTACTTGACTTGAATGGGTTTGCTTTCCTCACATGAAGTATTTGACATACCTCGACCTTATTTAAGCTTTTTTGTATTTGACTGGAAGTAATTATCATACGGGTATCATTAACGGATGTTACAATTAAGACATTTATGGACGTATACAAATTAGTTCTATAAATGCTGCAAAAAACTGACTCTAGTTAAATGATGGTATGAATTTTGTATACATCGGATATTTCTTCGTTTACTCAAAACAACAAAGTGGGTGGTGGTCGTTTAAATATGAATATTGGACAAAATATATACATAAGTCAATAATACGATGAGCACATTTACTACTGGGTTGTTGTTGTAACAATAATGTAAGGCGCCATTCATGATGATTTAAGTGAGCAGATGATAGGCTTGTCTATTTACAAGTTCATCAGATAATCGCGGCCAGTAACGGAAGCTGTATCAATGAATAATTGAATGCGCACTCTTCGTACGTTTAGCACCCCGAAGAAAAGAGTACAACAATCTATGACTATAATTATTTTTTATTTTTATGTGGTTTCATTTTGCTTTTCTAATGGCAAAACAAATGAAATATATTTAATTATTTAATAATATATTTAAATTAATCAGACGAAATTCTTGTATGTGTTGTTTACTGGTTTTCATTATTGTATTGTTTTTGATTGAGAAGTCGTGAAATACCAGTTTTGATTGAAAAAAATTGACAATTTATTTTGCACAAGCAACGCCGAAACATTTAGTCAAGTTTCAGTTAAGCAGAAGACCTCGACAGATAAACAACTTCAGAAAGTGAGACCAATAAATATTATTTAGGAATTTATTACGAAAATGAAAACACAAATTGTATTGGTGAGTAGCGAATTGAGTAGTTAGCCAAGCTAGTAGCTCGCAAAAATAATATACGATTTTGTAAATAATGTGTTGCTTTTGGTTGGTTAAAAGGTATTCGCTGTTTTGTGCGCATGCGCACGTGCTGATGTGGCGCATGTGCTTCATGACGCTACCACAACACCACAACCAGGGCCACCAAATCCATATATTTTCAGTTACCAGGCTGGACGTGCACCAGGTCATGTAGATCGTCAACATACTGAAGTTTCGGATGGCACTGGTGTGGTACGTGGTGCGTTTTCATATGTGGATCCAAAGAATCAATTACGTACCGTACAGTATGTTGCCGATGAAAATGGTTTCCATCCACAATTAAGTCATGAACTGGAAGATAGTGAATCAGTGAAATTAGCAAAGCAAAAACATTTCGCTTTATATAATAAAATTGCACAAGAACATGCAAATGAGTTGCATCATCAAGCCGTAAGTATCTACACGTATAAGTAAACAGTTACACAACTTAAGTAATGAAGCTAACAAAATCTAGCAAAATCTGTAAAAGAAACGACAAAGAAGTTTAAAAACATCTAAGCTTTATTGTATACATTTTTATTGGGAAATTTTTACAATGTTTATATCGTTGTTCACTTTCTTATATATTTTTTTTCTTTTGCTATAGGCCGCTGTTGCTGGCCCCCAAGATAGCGAAGCCGTTGTCCGCGCTACAAATAAGCACTTGAGTTTATTTGAACGTATTGCAGCAGAACACGCTGCAATTGGAGCACAACATGAGGCAGAACGAAAGGCATTGGAAGCAGCTGGTGCATACGACCAAACAGAAGATGGTCAATACCATCCATGAAGCTTTTTGATGTGAAATCATTGATATTGATATGATATTTTTACGTATAAATACAAATAAATGACTTGAAAATAAAATGACAACATTTCATTTTATTGTAGTTTCCCAATTTTTAGTACATTTGCAGCAATTTTTTTTTTGTAAGTCAGCATTTAAGATTTAGTAAAAGCCCTGTAAGTTTGAAGCAATGAAGTAGCCATCTTGAGCCTTAAATAATTTCAATTTATTATATTTATAACTGTCACACCAATTAAAATAAATATTAAGCTCCAGATAAATTATAAATACTTATTTAACAAAATCACAATATTGCTTTAACACTTAGATTTAACAACTGAATATTTTGTGGTTAAACATGATTTGACTCAATACGTATATTACGTTGTTCTGGCATTTCTTTTCCTCTTTCAACTGATTACATAGTCTTCATATTTACTTAATGAAGTGCCTGTTGTTCTATTGTTTTAGTCTTGATCTAGTATTTAATTTGCTACTTTTAACTAATTTTTGTTTTAAACGAAGTACTTTTTGATCTACTTCTTTGTTTTAACTTCAATGAGTTTTGCTCACATAGTTTTAATATATTCTAAAAGAGTTTTTATATTATCTGTTGTTCTATCGTTTCATTTCTAATGAGTCTTGCTTGTAGAGTTTTGATCCCTATGCAGTTAAAATTTGCTGAGCTTTCGTAGTCTATAAACAAAGTTTGTTCTCTCATTAGGTTTGTAAATTGTTTGCCGGATTTCCTCAATTTCTTAACGTTCATTACGTTGTTCTTAATTTCCATTTTGGCTTATATATGTTATTGATTGATGCAAAATTACTTGTAGTGAATTCAAAAAGTGTTTTTTCTTTTTTGAGTAACATTTTAATGTTGCCAATCCCATTTTAAATATATATATATGTTTATCTTCTTTTTTAGTGCAATATGAGATGGACCACTGCTTTGTAATTATCTTTCTTTCAGGGCAATTTCTATTTTTTTTTCTACAAAAAAAAGATTGTGTTAGCAAAAAGATTGTGTCAACAAGTGTTCTTATTATAATCACTTAACCTTCTTGTAATCTGAGATTTGATATAAACGAGGATTTTTTTGTATTTTAATATTCTTCCTATCACAGCCTTGTAGTGAATTCGAAATGACTCATCTTCATGTTGTTTAGGTCCACATGCTTCTCATAGGATCTTACAATATACTCATATTTATAACCATCATTATAACCATATAACCATTTTTTAGTTTTTTGTCAATGTAATAAGTATACAATATGAAACCTTCATCTTGTGTGAAGAAAATTGTATCGGCATACCTAAGCGTAGTGAAAATATTTGCTTAATATAGGTTACCCAACATAAATTCATGATGAAAAGGGTGTTCTCGGAAAATACGCACGATTTTTAATCTAGTTTTGTTGGGTATACGTAAAGAAAACATACAAAAACCTGATTTATATTTTTTTTCTAATAATTCTTGTAAAGAATTGAAATTTAGTGAAACATTTTTGCAATTTAAGAAAAACATAATATTTAGTTAACCATGCTTAGTAATAGAACAAAACAAAAACAGGTCTATTTGTTTGTAAGAATATAGCAAAAGAACAACATAAAATAATAACTATTTTCAATGACAATTCAGGAAATTGTTGTTTTGATACCTGTCAGGTTTATATATGCAAATACACATATTTGTAAAACACGTAAATTCAAAATTAAAGCGTTGAAATAAATAATAATTTTTTAACACTAAAATAATAAATGGAAAAAATAACAAATATGAATAATATGAATAATTAAGAAAAATACATGTTGACAGTTAAATGGAAATTTTGTAGGTACTTCATAGTAGATGAATTTTTAGTCTTAGCAATCATGCGATTTCAGCTGTTTATTAGTTAATTGCTTTCAAAGAAATTGGACTAAATTAACCAGCAGTTTTGTTGTTTTATATGTTATTTGAAAAATAAGCGGTTGTTTTTTGCGATATGCTTACTAAAGATTTTATATGTTCTGTTGTCCCATTTTAGTGTTTGTGCAATTGAATAAAAAAACTTAAAAAGCAATCGTGATAGTATTATATTAAAGTATTGATAAATTACAAGTTTACAATTTTTAAAGTAAACGGTTCATAACTTAAAATTTTTTCAAACAAGTTTAATAAATTGACATTTGAATGACAGTTTCAATTCCATTTCGTACCTCTGAAGTCATAGTAGTTTTTAGTTTTTTCACGACATTTGTGTTATTTACTGGCCATCTATATTTTAATAATATTTAAATAAATAAATTATTGCAGGTAAACTAAATTTAAATTATTGTGAAAAGTTGATGTATATGTGCCGCTAATATATAAGTTAAAACATATTAAAAACATAAATTGTTAAAAAGTTATGTAATTTAATTCATCAATTGAAAATCATTTACAATTGGTAAGAATGTTCTTGGCTTACTACTGATGCTCATTAATGTTTAAATAAATTATAACTTAAAGTTTGTATGTGTGTATAAAATGTAAGCTTAAATAGTAACTGTGTATTCAAAAAATTTGAACTTATTGTGATTATTTTTATTCATTATTATTTACGTTGCCTGTGCTGAATTACAATGCCTTCATAAGATTAATATATAACTCGGTTTTTTTTTTTGGTTACCAACTAGTGTATATACTTTTATAATAATAACGTAAAATGCGTTTTTGAATAATGCTATATATTGTTTTTGTATATTTTAAAGATATTGACTAACTATTATTACTTATAGAACAACAAGTGTCTGTTTTCAATAAACCAATTTGTTATTTTCACTTTCAAAAAAAAAAAAGCGGAAAGATGCCAGAATGCATACAATCTTTAACAAGTCTTCCATAATAATCATGACTTCATTATATATATATATTTATGTAGCACAATATAGAGATCGGTTTATGTTTTATTGATATTTTGACAAATTCCTACCGGTTTATCAATATTATTGAAGTTTACATATATACCGAAAAGCAGACAACTATTTGTTAATATATTATTCTTACTTACTATCCATACTTCTATTAAAAGTTTAATGTTTTCCAATTATGTCTATGTATCATTAATCAAAACACGTTAATCCCTTTGTAAATTAAGCCATATATCTTTTACTTTATTATAGTTTCGGTTATTCTTTTATTTTTAACATGCTACCGATTTTTAATTATAATTTATAAACAATATTGTAGTATTAATTTATGTTGTCAAGGGTAGTTTAGATGGGAGTGGCGGCCTTGTATACCCTTGTAGTTGAGCTCAAATAATAGCCTATTCTGATACTACGGATTAGCATTGTTTATACGCAGACCAGAAAGAAGAACCCGAAATCGACCTCAGCGTACAGATCTCAGTAGAGGATACCGTATCTTTGTAGAAGACTGTTAGTGCACACTTCTATTTGACCTCACTGATGTTGGCTCCATTACAATAGGTTTTAATGTAAATATCATACGAGAAAAGCGATCAACAGACACATCTTAGAGCGAGGAATAGTGTCCAATAGTTATAACTACCTATGCTTTCAAAACTTACTATCCCTTGATTTTTTGACAATGACATTGATAACTAAACAACCTCTATCAGTTAAAAAGGTCTTTATAACCAACCATTGCTATATATCTACCTATTATGTGGATTTATTTCACAAATTTGTCAGTCTAAGTTTTATCTTACTTTGCATTAAACAAAATAAAAGATAAACGCAACATCACAGTTTTTGTTTAAGAAATTATACTACACACAAAGTAAAGCTTCCTGTTTACACACTTCTGAGTGCAATGAAGCTAATATACTGTTTATGCTGATTCAGTTATGATCACTATAGTCAAGCTACACACAACATTCTTTGTTTATTTAATGAACAATGTTGCGCTTATGGTTCCACTTATAGAAATCAACTTAGATAAAAGACACTATATACACTTATCTCAAGAATGCAAATCTCAGCATAATTGGCTTAGTTTGTTTAGCTTTTGCTTGATATTTTCAATTTAGTTCTAGTCAAGCCAACAAACAAAACTGATCGTAGTTTCTGTGTATAGCACACCCAGCTGATTTAAACAATTTTTGTTACGTATAAATCAGTAAATTTTTATTATGCCGCTTTGTCTTTTTGGAACTTTACAGAGCATACCGTAGTTCATTTTTTCAGTTGGCTCCTATATATATCAACTTTAACAATAAAAAAAAAATAATTTTTTGATATTTGAAAGACTTTTATTAAGTTTAACAAAGCGTATTTGTTAATCTAAAAGTTATTTTTAATTGTTCATAATTCTTACATTAAATAATCATTAACTTAATATAACTATAAATAAGAATATTTTAAACCATTTTCCGAACTTTTCTACAATTTTGTAGTAATCAGAACATATAATTCATTACATCAAAAATAAATTTATATTAACTATTTCATTTAACAATCATAAATTATCGTGTATTGATTTTATTTATTAATTTATACGATTAACTATTTAAAATTGTGTTGTATTATGTATACATATTGATATATTTCACAAGACTCCAAATTCTTTTGAATTAAATTGCATATTCTACTTTTAGTTTTAAGCGTTTATTTTAATGTCATTTAAAATGTAAAATATGTAAAAATCTATATTTTATTAATTCGAATTTGAATTATTTTTTATATTGTAAAAATGTAACTCTTAATAAATTTTCATATTTGAAATGTTTACTTCTATGAAAAACTCTTCTCTTCATAATATATATATATATATGGTATATACTTAATTCTATTTAGTTCGTTGATCATAAAAAAATAATTTCTATATGTTAGGTTTGCAATGTGAACCTTCTGCTAATTTTATTATGTAGTTTTGTTGAACTAATCACGTTTTGATTATGTGCATCTATTTATTAAATTTATTAAACACCGTTGCTATGGACACAAAACTAATACATATTTTTATTTAATTTTAATAATACAATAATATAAATATTTCATAAATAAAATTAAATTGACAAAGGAAAAGCAAAAAATACCTTTATACTAATATGGTGATTTAACATGAACAAAATATAAATAAAAATCCTTTAAAATCTCTAAGTACAAAAAAAGAAGAAAAATTTATAGATTTTGCACTTTTATTACATATTAAAATACAATCACAAATACATTAATTTTTATTAAATTAACACTTTATTTTTTGCAAATACTATCAAGTAATTTACTTAATTGATTATTCTATTTAAAATATAATCTTTTTAACCCTCTTTATATTTACTCTTTTTCATTTTTAAACTGAATATTATATTCTTATCAATCTCTTTAACTGTAATGCTCTTTAAGAATAATTTTAAATTTTAATAATTCTAGTAAAATTTTACAAATATAATAAATATTATTTACATTAATCTAATGAACGCCTTCGTTGTGTGCTGGATATGACCGTACGATCCAATACTTCTGTTGACAGTCGTGCTAATAAAGGCAGCTCACGCATTGATACATTAACCGATGGCAGAGGTTCTAGTTTATTTAGTTTTTTCAAAGGTTGCACACTATGCTCAGGAGTAACCGGCATACTTGTTGCATTTGTGCTGGAAGTAATTTTGATTAATGGTCCTTTATTTTGATTAGTGGGCTTTATTGATTCAGCTCCTAAAGAATCGGGTCTTATATTTTGTTGTTGTTTTTGTATATGTTGTTGATTGTTTGCACATTCTTTCAACAACATTAAATGATCCAATTTATTAACTGTAGCATTTAATTCGTGTTCCCACATATCATTTTGCTCTTGTTGTCCATCGCCACCTTCTATTGGACGTACAGCAAGGATTTTGACCTTTTGACGCAACGCTTCGAGATCACTTTCGTCAACAACTTCCATTAAATCATTGCTATCTATATAATCAGCTTCGTTTTCCTCTCCTTCAGAATCGTCCATAGTAGCGAAAGAATTCATTGCATTATTATCTAAATCACTTGAACGATGCGAGAAATTTCCAAGCGAAACTTGGCTGCTTGCAATAGAAGGATAGTCACATTTTTCTAATTCACGTTTAAAGTCTGGCAAAGGCGGTAATGTAGTTAATGTTGGCGAATTTAATTCAGCACCAACACCGGGTTCACGTGGTCCTGGTGGTGGTGCATTCATATCTGAGAAATCGCCACGCTGACGGTGTATGTCATCACTAATGCGTTCAAGATTACGCAAAGCTGTTGCATACGTAGTTTTAGCCGTTTGCACCTGGGCTTGCAACTCCTGTATGCGGTTCTTTTGTGTTTGTAATTGATCTTGACAGATTTGTTTTTCTTCAAAATATGGACGAGCTTTGTTAATGCTGCGACGAAATCGTTCTTCTAGTTGTTGTACCTAAAATAAATAATTGATTACGTTAATGTTAAGAAGAGAGATAAGATTGATATTGTAACTGGAATACCTTTTGTTCAGCAGCGTGAAATATTTTTGTTTGCTCTTGGTGTTCTAGATGGCGATCAGCTTTTTGTTTTTCAGTATCAAAAACTTTTTGAGTAGCATGATTAAGCATTTCCTGCCAAGCGTTGTCGAATGGCCATTCATGGGAGTTGGACATAAAACGCTGTTCTGCTAAGGCTACAGTTTCTTTTGCTGCTGTGTGTATTTCTGAAAAAAAAATATTGTATTATTTGTAAAAAATTTATAACAATATTAGTAATAAAAAAGGCATGGCTTAGACTAGGGTTTCTAAATTGCTGCCTGCTTCATTAACACCAACGGTCAACAAAATATTGTATATTAGCGGTTTACTTAGCATTACTCTAACTTAAAATATGACAAGAAATCTCATCTTTTATTATAAGGTAATTTAGTTAACTGGCAGCTCAGCAATCTTGCTGAGAACAAGTCGTCTTCTGTATAAAATATTTGGTTGGAAATCAATCAAGTAGGGTCTTCACTTGTGGTTAACTGATATTTTGTTCCAATACTAAAGTTTTATGCAACCATTCAGTTTTAATTGTAAATTAGCTGATGCCAAAAATCTGATTTAGATAATCGAGTCGATTGTAGATAATTCAGAATAAATATTTGGTTCGTTAAACTACAGTTTTATATAATTTAATATCAAGATCTTAAATTTAGTTTTCAAAATATTCCACATATTATATATGTCGACAAAGCTTAAAGAAAATAGTTGACTTCTCGGAAATTCGTAATTACGTCCTTTATGCTAGTCCAGGATGAGTTTCCTGCTAAAATCTTCTTGATTTTTAGAAAATTTACTATAACTTTGGATTATAGAAAAGTTATTAAGAGTTGTACGTAATAGATTTCAGGCTTCCTTATAAAATTCCTTCCCTACAGTAGTATCAATTAGCACCCACCCACATCAATATTTGCCTTCATTCCAAACAAACGCCATCCTTCTTACATCCTAAATAAACCTATGTATTTGTCTTTATTTTTTTTCCTTTACACGTCCTTTTAAGTTACTATAACAATAATAGTAAATGTGCTCCGATTTGAATGGTATGGAGATCATCTTTAGATATGGGTCATATACCCTACTGTCATTCGTATTATTACTTTTCATACCTTATATCTATATCTTTAAAATGATTAAATTTAAATAATTGAAGAATATATACCATTGGCTCGTTGAAATTTTACCGCCGCTTTTTGGCATTCAATTTGTGCTTCACGTGCTTTTTCAACGGACTCATAGTAGGGTCTAGCTTTTTCTATACAATTTCCAAGCTTTTTAGATGATAACTTAAGACGACGTGTAGATTCATTTAAGAGTATTCGAAATGTTGAATTTGCCTCCTAGAGAATATATGTTTCAAAAAATGAATAAATTAAATACAATATATGGTAATATATATTTACCTCTAGCTCAATTTCCAACTTATTGATAAGGTCTGTTGCGCTGTTAAGATTCTCAAGTTCTACCTAAAATTATATGTAATAAAAATTTTTAGTATGGCTTGCCTTTAGTGGTCTCATATATCATTATCATATTGATTTATACTTTTTTTTGATACTTTTTTAAATATTCATGTTTAACAATATACTTTATTGACAATTTACTTTCAAACATAATCATATTTATTGTTTTTAATTATTATAAGTTGTTATATAAACAATAAGTTTATAAGTTTATATATTTTAAAACGTTATTAAACATAATATATTTAAAATATATGTTAATAATATACAAATATTTCTTTTCAGTCTTAAAATGGCGGTAAAACCAAATAGGGCGGCGAATGAAAAAAAATATGATTTGGAAAAAATTCCGGTAAGTTTAAAAATAATAAATAAAATAAAAATTTTTTTTTTAATTTAAAACTTTATTTATTTAATGAATTTTATTTTATAAAAAGGCACGAGTAGATCGAGTTAAAGTTAGCGGACTTTTACGCACACATAATGACTATGTTATGAAAGCCGCCGAAGGCCTTTTCAGCGCTAAAAACTTTCAAGATGTTATGCTGGAGTCCATGAAGTAAGTAAAAAACTGTGTAATATTGAAAAAATAATTTTTATATAAACTATTTATTGATAACATATATAATGCAGTGCAAAATCCTATCTGCATGAGCTGGGCATCTTCAAAGACATATATGTGCGTGTCGATATAAGTCGTGGTGAAAATCCTTCCCCAAACGGTTATGAAGTTACTTTTACTGGCAATGAACTATCAAGAGTAGTGGGAACATTTGGCACGGAAGTGGGTCAAAACGAAGGTACATTGCGATCAGAATTAACATTTCCAAATATATTTGGACGTGGCGAAAGTGTTTCATTACAAGGTTCATACAGTAGTACCCGAGCAAATGATGTGACTTTAAAGTTTTGGAAATCATTTTTTCACACGAAATTCATAAAAAATCGACCAGAGTAAGTTTAATTATATGCACTTTCAATGTCAATTTTTTTTGCCGAGACTGATACGACGTCTTTATGACGAAAAGAAACTATTTAAAAGTTAGACGGATTCGTATAGCAAAAAAGACAAGAACAAAATTATCTTTAATTATGGTTTTTTTTTTCAGAATCTCATTTTCAATATTTCGTCGACTAGACCGCATGGATGTTAGTTCATTTCAAACTTCTAATCTAGGCTGTATTGCTGATTTATCTTTACATACATGGTTTCCCTTCAAGGTTGGTATAATATACGGATTATAATTTGAAAATCATTTTGGGTATAATATACGGATTATAATCTATTTTATTTTTTATTACAGTTAACACATTCCTTTCAGTATGAAAGTTCAATACGGGATTTGTCGTTGCTCAACAAAATGGCACCCTTTAAAATACGAGAACATTGTGGTCCTAAATTAGCTTCACTATTACGATATTCTGTAATATTCGATGAACGCGACAATCATGTGTTTCCAACAGAAGGTGTATTAATAAGATCAGTGAATGAATATTCCGGTTTAGGTGGAAATATTGCTTATATGAGCAATAGCACACATGCCGAAGTTAGTTTTCCGATTATTGGTAGCTTAGTTGGACAACTTTGCGGTCGAGTAGGCATTATAAAAGAAACAAAAAATACAACAACTCTACCGATAAATAATTTATTTTATTGTGGAGGTCCACTAACGCTGCGTGGTTTTAAATATGGTGGTGCAGGACCAGTAGAAGAAGGAACACCAATTGGAGCACAGGTATTATTTTATTATACAATTCTTTAATCATATATTCTAACAATAATTTTGTCAAAATCAGACTTATTGGTCGGCTGGTTTACATCTTTGGGCACCTTTACCATTCAATCGAGTCTTTAAAGGATTAGGAGATAACTTTCGAACACACCTCTTCTGCAACGTTGGAAATTTCAATTCATTTTCCTTAGGTAAAATATTACACTTAATATTAAAATATTAAAATAATAATATAATTTTATTTGTTTTATATAGAACGCATGAGAGTTGCCAGCGGTTTGGGTTTAGCATTTAAATTAGGTGACCGAGCACGAATCGAATTAAATTATTGTATACCTTTAAGAAAATATGCCAACGATAGAGTTGAAAAAAACAATTTCCAATTTGGTATCGGTTATGAATTTGTTTAAATATTTTGAAATAGTATATTTTTTGGTATGTAGTGCGTATAAATTGTATATTTTTTTTGACGAAATCAATGCAAACCTAAGGCTTTTAACAAAATTGTAAATAAACTTATTATTTTTAATCCTAAACAATTTTTAAGCTAAATGCTTAATTATAGTTGTTTTTTTTTTTTGTTCCATATTTTTTTAATTGTAATAAATACTTTTTTCTCTTTATTAAATTATACTTTCGTGTTCATATTTTATTTAAAATGTAAACTTTTTTTTAACTATAAATAATTAAAATAAAACAAATTGTTAGATTATGAATACATATTAGACGCATTTATAGCCCGAAACAAATGAAACGCTTATAAATAAAAATGAATTCAATAGTTCTAACCAATTTATAAATACATTGTTAAAATCTGTATATTATATCTGATCTTATCAATTATAATAATTATTTAAATAAATTTAGAAATATTTGTCATTGTTATTTTTTTTTTTTAGTAAGCATTTAAAAGTTGTTTAAATTGTATCTATTAATTCTATACACCATCACATAGAAAGCAATAAATATTTTTAATTTTATAATTAAACCACAAATAAGTTTTATAGAAATAATTATATATGAAAATATAATTGTTAACATTGGATAATTTTAAAAAATAACACAAACTGTTACTTAATAGATTTTATTTGTAATAAAATCTCTACTTTAGATAAATAAATATTTTCTTTAATTTTTAAACTTTATTTTTTATATATTATTAAAACACAATAAAGCATTTTTGGCAATATATGAAAATAAAATGAAAATTATTTTTACTGATACTAAATACCTAAGCATTAATAAAATGTATAACTATGATATTGTAGTTTAAATGCCTAAAATAGTAAAAGTTCGTACGTATGATTTACAAAAAAAAAGAGTTGGAATTAAAACAGCAAGATAATTGAAAAAAAGAAGAGCAGCGAAACGAAGCAAAGGGTAATATCACAGATATAGATTAATCAATGTATCTGACAATACTAGTAATTTCTATATACTAAATTGACCTGGAAAAATGAAGGTCTTATAATAATGGTACTTTAATTGGTGATTTCTATCTTTCTACATATATTCATATCTTTAAGTGTATAGAATCCAAGTTAACACTTCTGTACACTAAGATTCCTAGATCGTTAAAGGAGCATTAGAATGTATAGAAAATGAACAAGAATGTTTTTTGTTTAAAAGATTTAAATAGGTATAAAATATAATGTAAATAATATATAATAAAATTATATATAATAATAATACATATAATAATAATATATATAATAATAATATATATAATAATAATAATATATATATAATAATAATATATATATTTATATATATAATATATATATATATATATAATAATAGATAATAATAGAAATATTAATATTAAATAAATAATAATATATTTATTATAAATATATAAAAAACAAATAAAAAAGTTACTCTTCAAATATTTTCAAAAAGTATAATGAAATAAATTATTTGTTATTTATAAAATTTATATTTTTTTATACTAATTCAATTTTATTACATATTTAATAAAATTATTAAAATTTTAATAATATAAAAAAAAAATGAAATTACTTATTTTATTATAAATTTTGTTTTTTATTATATTTATATTATTATAATTATTATTTTACGGAAATAATTGTAATATAATATTTTAATAATATAATAAAATAAAATAATATGATAAAATAATATAATAAAATAATATAAAAAAATATGATTTTATTAATTAATTAATTTTATTTTATTATATGCCATATTTATTATCATTATTATGCGAAATAAAGAGTGCAATAAGTCATTCATCTTTTTTAGGTGTAAAAATTTATTTAATTTGAGAAAAAGGTTTTTAAAAAATAATTATATAATATATTATAAAATTTATAATAAAAATTAGCATGTGCAAATCTAACAACAAGATTAATTAGTTCTACATTATGAAAATATAACTAAAAAAATATTTAATAAATACATATGTACATTAAAACAAAAAATTGTAATTCGAGGGTTAAAGTAGAAGTGAACCAATGATTTATTTGAGTAAACACTTCCGTGGAGTGATAAACGAAACATTTTTATAGCCCCGAGTGAAATGAAAATTGCATACAGAATACAGCAAAGTCCAAAACAACACTTAGGGCAGCAAATAAATTTCAAATTAAATAGAAGAGGAAAAACTATTTTTTAAAAACTAGACTTTCACTGGTATTGAACCTGCGACCACTAAAATTTTCGTGCACAATTTGCTCACTGCTCAACCAATTGAGCTAACGTGTATACTATTTTGATCGTGCATAATGATAAATTTGTGGCACTCACTTTATGTTGCAATAACAACGCATAAAAGCAGCATGTTGCAATAACAACTTAACAACGCATAACAGCAACATGTTGCAACAAGTGAACATGTCACAACAATTTTCAAACTTGCTTATTGTAATTAAGATGTTTGAACGAACATTTTATTTCACGATCGAACTTTGCGTGAACAAAATGTGAAAATGTGTTTATTTCACGATCCAACTTTGTGTGAACAAAACGCGTGGTTATTTACAATCCAACAAGTCTTGATTCAAACCGAAGATTGATACAAACATGTTTATAATAAACGATTAACAGTTAAAAGAGCAAGTTATTTATTGCACACACAAAAAAGAAATATTTAATTTCTAGAAAAAAAAGGTTAAAGTTTAAAAAGAAGAAAAAAAAAATTAACTTTTTAACTGGTTTTGTGATATGAACAATTATTATTTAGTACAGTTCATATAATTTTATTTTTTCGGTAATTTAAGTTTCCATTCTTCAAACAGTATAACGAATAAG